TTGGGGTAACAACACACAAGTGTTATTGTCAGCTGGAAGTGTGTGAAAACAGCTACATGCTTGAAGAGCCTTGATGCAGTATCAAGAAAAATATCTGCATGTTTAATTGTATTCATGCTGTAAGCAGATTTTAAGCATTCAAGATAGAAATATTGAGAAAACCAAGTATCAAGTGAATATATTCCATCATAAACAGTTTATTTGAACCTATACCTTGTTCAGTTATTTAACTATTACCACACTGCCCCATGTGAAAAAATACAGCTTTTAAGTTGTTGTAACACCTACATCAGCTTGAAGAAAAGCAATGACTGTGACTGTAGATAAGCATGCAGGATTTTTTCCCAGATATAAATCCAACTGCATGGATAACTTGCAGCTTGTGCAAATTGAAAGCTTGCTCCTTCCCCTTCATCCCCCACAATGAAAAGAATCCCTGCAAAGGCAGTGACACCACCTGAGCTCCTTGGAGTTTGGTTTTTCCAAAAGTTTCTCAGAAGTCCGTTGTCTGAAAAGATGATTTAATGAGGTAAGCCTTGCAATAAACTACAAGCACCATCCTTTTCTGTATAAAATGGAGTGCAGGGAGTGCCTGTGATGATTTTGATTTTGATTCACCACTGTGCATTGCCACCAGGTGGGATACGCTGGTCCTGGTGTTGCAGAATGTTTTGGTGGATGGGCTGCCACCACAGGGAGAAAAGTCAGCTGTCATTTTTTTTTGAAAGGTGCTTTTAAGTTTTCATTATCAAACCACATGTAATTACACTGGACAGTGTCATCCAGTCAAGTGTACTCAGAGGAAAAACCCCTTAAAACTTCCTCTTTGCTAATGACAGAAGGATATAAAAATACCAATCAACAGTTCCAAGAGAAATATAAGAAGAAAGCTACCAGGAAAAAAAAATTGCAAGAAATAAAGACCTCTATTTATCTAATAAGACATTAGGAAAATGCAGCTGGTTTTCCACAAGGTAAATACAGCTGATTCTACAACAAAATCTTCCTGTGACTTTCCACATTGCTGTGGGCAAAAGCACATTAGTCACTACTTTTGAAAGAGATAATGGCTTTTCAACTGCTGTACTCTGGTGTATCTATGACAAATGGCCTGAGAGATAACAGCTTTGGCAGAAGCAAAGTGGAGGGGATGAGAGTTCAGGATGGCTGAATGGCCTCTGCCACTAATTGCCAGCATTGCCATTGTCACACGGATCCATACTGGACATGTAGGTGGCATTCCAACAGAAATGGTCGGAAGTGGGTTTGTGAGGGTGCAAGTTAATTTTAAAATTCAGCTTCAGTCCACTGGAACAGATTTGTAATTATATCAGTTAGTGGCATAGATCTCCTCTTAATGTCATCCTACCTGTTTCAAAATAATACCAAGATACAAAATACATTTAGGAGTATGGGTAAGATATGTGTTAACTGGCTTCTTTTTTACATAGAGTGCTGTCCTTCTATCCATCCATTTTAAACTCAGTTGAACACCTGTGAATACTTAGAACAAGAAGACAGAATGCATTTCATAGGTCTGTCTAACACAGCTGTCTTCACATTTAGCCTACCTAAAGCCTGACTGGGACATGGCTGGGCACAGAGGGTTTGCAGGGTCATGTCTGGCTTCAGTACAAGGCTTTCCCTCTCCAGACTCTGTAAGCAGTGTCTTCCACTCCCCAGAGACCATGGCAAACCATGACCACTTCCCTCTGCCCCAGAATGGCTCCAGTATAAACCCATGGAATCAGGAAGGGCACAAAATCATCAAATATGAGCCAAGCCAAATGTTTCTAGAAAACCTCCAGAACATCAGTTCATGAAACAGTTCAGAGAGCTTCATCCTCAAGCTGGAAATTATCTGTTATCATTGTGTACCAGTCAGGAAAAACTTTTAGACCTGCATAATTGCACAAAGTCCAACACAGAAAGCCCATGCTGCAACCCAGTCTACTTCAATGCATTAGTATTAACTAATACACCACACAGATGCCAAATCACTCACTGGAATTCATTTTTCCGAAGAAAAATTTGCAATTAGATTTTAAAAAAACCCCCTACATTTCACATCTTTTGGGAAAATAGCCACTTTGTTCTCACCAGGCAATGTTTAGATGTGGTCCCAGGAAAGTGCATTTGGAGGTGACAACCTCAATTTGAATGGTAGGGACAAATTGTTTGTTATATTGAGGATTATTGTAACACCCCCTTTGAGTTGTGCACACTCACAAAGTTTTATGAACCACCCCAAAGACAACCAAAGAGCACTTGGCCACTGAAAAAAGGGGATAGCCATTGCAAACCCCCAAGTCCAGGTCCCTGGAACAGCAGTTCCAGCATTACTACACATAGTTTCCAGAAATGTGGATAGCATGTCTCTGTTTTTGTGCTTGTAATTGGAGTGGTTTTGTCTACAATCAGATGTAACAGAAAAAAGGAATTTTTGAAATCTTGCTTTCTTTCCCAATTTGATAAATTCTGTTATTTCAAGGAAAGATTAGCAGTTTGATTAGTTTTGATTTAGTTTCTAGACCCATGACTGGCTTCTCCAGTTTTTAACCAGCAGGTCATCTGCTTAGGAAAAAAATACATCTGTGAACTATGGATGTGGCATTAGCTAAGAGAATTTACAGTGCATCATGTGCAGTGAAGCAGATGGACTCTATGGATGAGTGAACAGTGACTATAAGATTATCTTGAAAAATGGAGGGGGTTTTTTTTTGCCTAAATGACTTAAGACCCCATATGCTTTGGGGTTTACCTAGCTTCACTAGTTACTCTTGCAGAGCATCTATGGAGCAGCAGCTCCCTCTTGCATGTTTAACTCATGCTACATTTTATAAAAAACATGAACTAGAAAACAGACACCCCCCGCAACCCCTCAAATACCAACCCCCCACTGTACTGTAGAAAGAGTCACATCCTGTCCTGTACATTCTATCTCTTTTTTTGGGCTCTTATTACTTGAAAAACTTGAGCAGCTTCCAGTTTAGTCATTTCCCCTTATCAGGAAATTCAGATGAAATTACATTCCTACCGGAGGCTTTTAAAACTGTATAGGAGACCTGCTTGCCTTTACAGGAGATTTATTTTACTGACATTTTTGTTTTCCCATCCAGGTAGTGGTCATCTGCTCATTTTGAGCATTCACAACCCCTTCTGATTTTCACTGCAGATGTGTCTCTGTCATCTTGTCATTTTGTTCCCCGGTTAACCAACGTGGTAAAGGGCAGGCTTCCACACAATTTTATTGAGTAACAACTTGACCAGCCTCCCATTGCCAGGAAGGGGACCCATCAAGACCCGAACCTAAAGCTAATTTTCTAAACAAAGTGGTAGCTGCCTGCTTTTAACTATGCTCCAGAAGTGTTCACTGGATCAGGATCAATACTCACAAGGTAAGCAAGCTACAGATGTTTATCACCTATGCCTAGAGCCTCCTGCAGCTACCAGCACCTGTCTGTGCTCACTGATGACCTCTGCACCAAAACACCTGCTAAGGAGAGAAAAAAATGAGCAAAACAAAGTGGGTTGGATGGAGGAAACTGAGCACTTGTCCCAACAGTCTACGATGGGGGAAAGGAGAGGGATGGAGGAGGCATCACACCCAGACAGGATGTAGAGGAGGCACAGAACTCTCCTGGGGTGCCATGCACACATCTCTCTTTGTATGGGGCATCCTCTGCTCCAGTGTTTGAACTCTGTAACAGCCCACTCCTCTCTCCCATCACCTCCTATTTCTCCCATATGCCCTCAGCTTCATCCCACTGCTCAACAAGCCAGAGTCCTCTCCCAGGGCATGCTAAGGCCCTGTGAGCACCGTGGCTTCCCTCGGGGCCCTCCAGACAGCCTTTGCTACCGGCAGGTGAAGGTCCTGGGGAGGTGACCAGGCGACACAACTCCCCATTTACAAGGTATTCAAAATTATTTTGCCTGGTGAAGGCACCCCAATGGTTCCCTTTTAGGATCATAAATGACTGTGCAGGTCACACTCACTAGAAAATAGTAATAATAATAACACTACAAAAAATCCTACCAGGATTGCCACCATTTTCCCTGGTCATAAGGGTCACACACAGTGTTTGTCTGTGTGCCAAGCAGCTTTGGTGCAGAGTTGCTGCAGCAGAAATAGCCGCCTGACTGCCTCCAAATCCAGCCTCAGAGCAACCTCCAGTGGCAGCAAGCTGTTCCCACAGACAGAGCACCGATGGCACTGCCAGGAATCCCAGCATGCCTCTGCCACCAGACAGAATGCTGGCCTTCGTGGGCATGCAGGAATGGTGTATGACCACCACCACTGCCATTAGGGAACCAGGATAAAAGTGAATGAATGAATGAATGAATGAATGAATGAATGAATGAATGAATGAATGAATGAAAATTAAATTGTCTGTATGTCCCCATGACTCATCTAACAGCCAAGATGCTCTATTGGCACAAACCCAAACTTGTTATCCACTTAAGACCCAATTAAAAAGTAGAAAAAGGGGCTGTTATTAGTTTAAAATTTTGTATGAACTTTCTGCTGGTGACTGGACAAGTCACACCCTTGTTGCAATTCAAGAATTAGAGAGATACCTCAGCAAATGCAAAACTAAGCACAAACTCCAGGACCTTTGCTACGTGGAGGTGGAATTAACCAAGCACATATTTAGCACTGCCATATACAAAGTGCTTTGTTGAGTGAAAGTCTGAACCACAGTCCAACACTGATGAAAGATCTGAGGACTTTGAGTTTGCCTCTCCACAGAAAGCCTTTTCTGTTGATCTTTTACCACAACAGGCACACATGCTCTTGTGAATAGAGGGCTACAGCTTCCAATGGCAATCCACAGTGTATTCTGCCATCTCAGCTATGTCTTTTTTTATTATCTCATTTCATATACTAAGTCCTAGGGAACATAGTTTGGCTCAGCCAAGCCCAACCAAGCAGAAGCCTCTACTCTGCAATCCAGGTTCACGCAACAGAAGTTAGAATAAGTAAAATCAAGACCACCAAAGGTAATCAACATTTTATTTATAAACATACATTTACTATAAAAGCTGTTGAGTTTTAGACAAGTTTTCCTAATTTCCAGAGGCATTTTAGAATAAATAAAATAAAGGGAAGGTTAGCATAATTGGTATTCAACATTAGCCCCAGCTAGGAGAGCAATCCTTGTCCCTGAATGGACATGCAGATAAGGATGGTCCCCTTCTGGTTTACCAACCTTTATGACATTCACTGAAAACTACAGATGTACTGCATCAATAACACTACATAGCAAGAGCAAGGAAAAAATACACCATGAAAATGGGCTTGTAAAATACAGATGGGTTATGACACCTCTTCAGGTTCTCTGAAGTAGTAAGAGGCTAAATAAATTCCAAAATATCTAAAACCCATTACATGTATTGTACTTGCTCAGTAATAATAAATCATTTTTTTTGAACAAATAAATTTACATTGCAGTTCAAATGTAGGAAAGCATTATTTTTTGCTGTGCTCAAAGTTCCTGATTAGAAATGTATCATGGTAATGTGTTTAAACTGGAAAAAAAAAAGAAAAATAAGTCTTAGCCTGAATGAATTTTCCATGTAAGATTCCAGAAGGAATAAAATCAAACATAAGAAGTTGGCAAGTACAATTTAGAAAACTGTTGAAAATTATTCTGTGCTGGTGAATAGATGTTCATTAGGGGAAAAAATGGTCACTGTTGAGCGCTGCTTCATTTTGCTTTGAGTACAATCAACTTTGCTAAAACATGCATATACAAAACTATCTGATAGACACTGGGGTCAATTTCTAAGCAGCTCCAGAGACCCAGCGATGTGTCTGCAGTGCGATGCAATATCCCTCCCCCCTCTTTCATGCACTTTATCCCAACCATGCTCCTAAGCCCTTTGGGCACTTACCCCTACATGAATGAGAAGCGGACCTGACCTCTGAGACAACCAACTTTTGATACACTTGGGGACTGATTTGCACATCTACCTCTATCACGTGGGTGAAGCAGTGCTAGAGACTCATACCGAATAGATGCACAAGCATGCACAGTCTTGTTTAAAAGTTAAGTTCAGACATTATATATTTACATATCCTTAATGCAGCGTATGCAGTTATACAGATGTACCACATCAGTTATGAAATCTGCTTCTTGAATTTCCATGTTACACATTCTTTATGGGAAAATGTTATAACAACCACAAGCAGAGAGTAAGCATCCTGGTTATCAAAACCTTTAAGCAGTAAATCATGCAGGTGGTTGATCAAAATATAGGATATCACTTTTAGTTCCAAAACATTTGTCTGATTTATTTAATTTTTACTTAAAAATATTCCCCAGGTGAAGTCCATGAAGAACTTCAGCTTTTTGGATTTATTGCATCCATAAGTCATTGTTGACTGTGTGCAACAACTTTGCATTTTCTAAGGCACAGTATTAAGGAAGTACCATGTAACTTTCCAGCAGATAGTCACAATGTCCTCCAATGACATCGCATGTGTCTGATGACATGCAGTTTTGCATGGTTATGGAACTCACATGCAAGCAACTGTCTAGCATTTCAATAAATAATTGCTATCTAGAGAACAACTCAGAATTATTGCTTCCCTAGTAACCACTTCATTTCTATCTACCAACACATCAAAAGATGACAGATATGCACATAGATAAAAGAAATCTCTATTAATTTAGTTTTATAGTGGTTTTAAGGCAGAAAAATATTTTTTCCCTCCATTTGAAGATATTTCCAGTAAATGTTTACCAAAAAGTGTTAGGATATTTTACAGTTGCAATACATTCCCTAACTTACTTTGTGTATTGTAGATACCTGCTGAACCTCTGTTTCAATGAGCTGCTGGATCACTTTAGTAAGGAGCACATGCTTAATCAAAGAGCACAAAGGAAAACTGTCCCAAACACAGGCAAGGCAGTTTTTCTGCCTGTGGCTCCAGCCTCCTCCCTGCCCATCTTCCACACTTCTGGGTTTTGCTGACTGTGTTTGGATAGTGGACGGAGGAGCACAGGCTCAAGGATGTCTAATTCTCTACCCTGGGGGGTACCCAAATCACAAGTGTTTCTCTGCATGAGAAACCATTTCAGCCAAGCGTGATGTTTGCAAGTGAACGAGCAGATGTCCAACCCACTCAAATCAACTGGCAAGTTACAAGCCAAAGAGAAAAGCTTCACCACAGCATCAAACTGCAGCTCGGAGACTCACAGCTCCACAGGGTCTGCCTGCTTGGCTGCTCTGCCCCACATCAGAAGGATTGCTCCAGATGGGAATTTTCCCATTGTTAATGGTATGCAGTCTTTAGGTTTAATGAAGAAATCTTTATTTCAGAGATATTAAGCTATAGTCATGAACATTACTTAAGGTACACAAACGAAAAATCCTATGACTAAAGGTGCAATAATTTATTTGTTTAACTTCTACCCTCCAGTGAAGGTAATATAAACACAAAATGCTTCAGAAGTACAGGATGTATTATCAAACTAGTCTCTGTATAAAAAAAGTTATAGCTTCAGTTATAACAGAGAAGTCGTGCTGTGATGTTTAGTTTTTCAAATGCACTGATTAGATACTATCTCAAAATTACTTCTCAGCTCAAGTTGGCATATTCTATAAAGGTTCTGTAAACTTAAACTTTTTAATTGCTAGAAATATTAAAACAAAACAGCTTTATTGCATGTTTATTCTCTTATTACTTTCAAAAGAACAAGATAACAGATTGGGTATCATAAGCATACCTGAAAGGTGGTTTTGTGTTGTTTTTTTTTATAGTACTTAGGCTTTGCCTTCCCATACACGGTCATACATATTTTGTAAATTTCTTAAGGAAGCAAAAACCAACATATTGCATTTCAAAGGAGCAGGTGCAACTTTTTTGTGAGTTTTTAAAAACTAGATGAGAGCCATCATGTCCATGGATTCAAGCTTTTACAAGTGATTGTCTGGAGGCAGCCGATACATATGAGAAGAGAGTTCCTTCTTGAAATTTATTAGGACTGAAAGTCATGTCACAATGTAGTTGGCTGTCCAGCAGCTAGGTAAAACAAAACCAAAACAAGAAATTGGTTACAAATTTTACCAAATACAGACTTTTCTTTATATGATCTCCACAATGAAAAAAATGTATCTGGAGCTACATATATTTGTGGCCAGTTTTTTTCCTTCTCCTGCAAAGCTGGGGCAGTAACTACTACAAAGATTCAGCATAATTCCAGTGGAAATACATTGCCATGCGTTGAATGCATTCTGCATGAAGTTTTATCTTATTTTATGACCTAAGTACTTGTGTGTAGGTTTATTTCAGGCTCTGAAGTGGCAAAATAATAAAGGACTGCTGAGTCATCTTCAGCTGTGCCTAGCTTGTGCTACCTGGTACTACAGACTTCTTGTGTTATTTGGCCATGTAGGGAATCTCATGAATTTACTTCTCACCTTTGACACTCATCAACCTGTGACCATTCCCTGTGTTTGACATTGAATAGAGAATTTCCTTCCTTGTGAGGTTTCATTGTATAGAAACAACCTACTGATAAAAACCCTATCCACTTTTATCTGAAAACCAAAAATATTTTGGACTCTGGACCACAACATAATCCTTAATGCTTTTCTAGTAATCTTTTTTGATGACTTATTTTGAAACAGAATTGTCCATTTTTTCAGATAAGCTTCTGGGAGCCAAAATATTTCATCAAGAAGTCCATAAGTGACTCAAAACAATACTGACTAAACCTGGGTTAGTCAGAGACCATCACTTCTGCCCACTGCTGCATGACTTTCATGGGGACAGGAAGGCACAAGCCATGCAATCAAACAACTGATTTGACATTTTGCAGCATTATTCCCAGAACTGAAAGGCAAAACACTGACATTGCACCAGTTTATTCTTAACTTCAGGTGTGCAGTGTATCAAATTTTAGTTAAAAAATAGCAACTAGCAATATTTGCAGTTCTATCAAAAGCAGTCCCTTTGAATTGTCAACAACAGCTACTGTAGCTTAAATTCAACTAACTGGATTTTGAGATTTTGCCTGACCAGTGGACACAGCAGGAAGAGGCAATTTGTTGTAAAAATTAAAACCCCCTTGCCATTATTATTCTTCAGTAGCCATACATTTTGTCAAAACTTATTTCCTCTGTCATGGACTTGGTTACCATTCTGCTGGGAATGTACAAATGCAAAACATTGTTACATGAAACACTGCACACAGCTCTCTAATGCATTTTCTAGTAACACTGCTGTAGAAATGATGAAGGAGAGAATGATTTCTACAGCATATAAGCTGATAATTTTTGAGCCTTTATCTATCCTCAAGGGACACAGATTTTTATTTAAGCAAAAAGGACTAAGAAGAAGAGGAAATGATAACTGTTATATCTTCCTCTCTTTTTTTGTGGAAAGATGCATGTGCAAATCTGCATTTTAAGGGTCAGGACCTCATCCACATGAGGAAGGTTTATAGTATCAAGCACAAAGGGAGAAAGCTTTTTCTAAATATTTCAGGTTAAATAAATAAGAAAAAGTTGATAACATTTCTTAGCAGAATTTAAGGAAAAAATCGCCCAAAAAACAGTTATACAATAGCACCCTCTAGCTCTGCTGATGGAGAAGTATCTCGTTCCTGAAGCACCAGAGCAAAAGTACCCATTTTTCTTCTGGCAAAGGCAGGGAGGTACGTTTCCTACTCCTGAATTTCTACAGCCAGTACTTTTGAGAGAGGGCAAGGGAAATAGTAAGCAAAAAGAGCTCTAGATGTCCACTTACCAGTTTTTGGAACCGTACCAAATAATATTTAACAGGAAGACAACAATTACTCCTATTGTTTTGCATCTTACTGTTTCCACAAGGTGGAGACTAGCATGAGCACTGATCATCACTGGTGACATTGGAGCAAAGCTGAAATGTTCTAGTAATTTTGTATCAGTCACAGAAATCCAGGACTTGGAAACACATTTAGCTGACCTCCTCTAAGGCAGAAAAACCATGAAGTTTTCTTTCTGACATGCAATTGTCTGGCTCATTCTTCAAGATTTATGGCAAAAACACTATTTAGCACATATCTGGGGATACCACCACAAGGATTCACTACAAGTTACAGAATGTTCTTAATATTTTACATGACCATTTTGTCCACAAAAGGGAGGCCTAGAGATTTAAAAAATGGGAACTTCTCTAAAGATGGCCCAGGGTCCTAGGTTGGGTAGAATTATCTGCATTGTCTCCTGTGCTGTGAGAGATCCAAGCCTCCGGGTCATGCAATGAGTGTGCATAGTATAGGAGTTTATCTTTATGCACAGAAACAGCCTTTAGTCTAATAGTGCTCAGCAGAGATCCTCTGGGAAAATTTAATGGGCTTGGAAATCTTTTCTGATATGAGAAAATCATTAAAATGGTGTGGGAAGACTCCTCTTCCCATGGCAAAGCTACACCTGAGCATCAGAGCAGGACAGAGCTGCCAGCTAAAATCATGGCCACAGCATTGTCAGAGCTGCCAGACTTTGGTACTTACTTCGGGATCGGATATAACAATCGTTGCAGTTAAGAAGACCATTTCTAATCCTGACATCCGTGCCGCTCGCTGCATCTCCCAGCTGGCCCTTGCAAACGCCACACTGTCAGGTGAAGAACAGAGAAAGTAAGAGAGACCATGCCCTACTATTTGTCACAACTCTTCCCAAATTTTTACTTTTGTTTAAGTAGGTCTTGGAACGGTGAGAAAAATACCTGCCTAGAACCCAGCCCATACTCCTGGGGAACACTGCAAACCTGTAAGAGGGTTTTTATAGATTTAGAAGTGTTTAGGACTGGATTTCAGCAGCCTCTCCTTACATAGAAGTGAAGCCTAACTCTTGTATGGGACATCTGACTTTGAGGCTGCATTCTGGAGGCAGGTAAGTTGTAATGGATAAAGTTTAAAGAGGCCAGAGATTTAGTCTGGGTAAATGTCTAAAATCAAGAAAGTCTTCACAAATGTCTAATATCAATTGAGCCAGAGATAATGGAAACGGATACTTTCTGATTTCTCTAGAAAACACTTCAGGTTATTTCCAAACTCAAACACTCAAGAACAGTCAAGAAATATTTCTGGTAGAAGCCAGAATACACCATTCATTCCATAGCAAAAGCTTTCCAACCATGGGGCAAATCAAAGATGGCTTTGGGACTGATCATGCTTTTGGAAGGAAAAAAGAAAAACCACCTAAAAAACTCACAAATTAAATAATGTTATATTTAAAAACAATGAGCACAATAGAGAAATTATATGATGCTTCCCCCCTCTAAGTACAGAAGCTATGTTTGCTTGCTTGATCACAGGTTTTAGTCAGTTAATGTGTCTGACTGCAAAATAACACATTAGTTGTGTTAATTCCACTTTGTTACAAACATGCTCAGACATAACAGTCATGTAAATCCCCTGGTCCTCTCATTTTCAGTTTCACATCTACTCTCCTCTTGCACAGGGCATGACTTGAGGTTTTTCTTAATAAAGCAAAAACCATACCCTGAAGCACTGAATATGGAAATAAAGACCAAGTGTTTCAATAATCATGGCAGCTCCTTTTCCAAGAGGGAGACCACAGGTAGAACAAAGCTTCTTCCCGCTGACAGACCTAGGAGGCAAACATGACCGTAAGAACATTGCAACTGATGATAAAATGAAGCCAAATATTTAGATAGGTTTATCAAGAGGGACAGAATGTGAGGAAGGAGCACTGGAGGAGTTTACATAAATACCCATTGACCCTTCAGCCATGTTACTGAATCCACCTGCACATCTGCCTTCTGGATAAGCAAGCAAAGGGCTTAAAATGCTTCAATGCACAGCAGCTCAGACTCATTGCACTGCCAGTCTGATGTGCTAGATCAAGGGAGATGCAAGCCTATTTACAGAGGCCTGGGTGACAGGAAACCATGCCTGTGGATTCACAGAATCACAGAATGGTTAGGGTTGGAAAGGACCTTAAAGATCATCTAGCTCTAACCCCCAGCCAAAGGCAGAGAACCATCCACTAGAACAGGTTATTTAGAGCCCCATCCAAACTGGCTTTTAACACCTTTAGGGATGGGGTTGCCCAGTCTATCTGGGCAACCTGCCTCAGTGCCTCACCACCCTTATAGTAAAGGTTATTTAGACCTAGTCAATGCCACAGCAATTCACACAAACCACCTGAGTCAGACTCAGCCTGTAAATTTTTCAATTTGTTTACAAATGGACTTTCTCACTGCAAGTCAGAAAGCAGGGATGCTATTCTTGCACCCAGTCAAGCTGGTGAAGCCAATTTGACAGCATAACTACAGTAGCACAGACCAGGCACTGGCTGCCTCATTTCAGTCTCTGCTGCTGCAGCCACTTAAGACTATAACTAGTCAGAGAAAACTTGAAATTGGATCTCCACCTGCAATGCAGAAAAACACCTGCAATACTTCAACTTGCACCTTTAGCAGTCCTGAAGGACTGTCTAGACCTCTCTCCTAAATCTGCTGTTGGATGACAGGTGGGTGAAGGTTCAGGAATAACTGGTGTCCTTTTTCATAATGGTTTTAATAGCAGTGCAGGTGCCCACTTTATGGGTCTCATGCTCTTCACATCTCTCCCACCTGGCAGCCTGCCAGAAATGATGCTTGGCCTAGTGAGATGAAGCTGAGACCAAAAGGGATCCCCAGTCATTCTGTGTCATCCATGCTTTTTTCAGCCAGGGCTGAAACCAGGAGAGAAGCTTTGTGACACTTCATGAGTTTTGAAAAGACAGTTTGATGAAATCCTACTCAGATAAGCAAGTTTACAATCTCTTGCTATAAGGTTTTAATGCCGCAACATAATAAGCTACCAACAGAGAAAGATCTGGAATGCAGCCATTTAGGGAAAAAAAAAAAAGAGAGAGACAGAGAAAGAGAGACACAAACAGCAGAAAAACTCATCACAATTAGAAAATTGTCCTTCCTTCCAACTATTGAGCCCACCATGTACACAGGCAGCACAGACCCTCTTGTTGCTTCATTATTATTATTCCTTTTAGAATAACTTTGCTGATTTTTTTTTTTTCTCCCCTCCTACAGCCTTAACCCTTCTGCTTCTATGTTATTCCTGAGTTCACTTTTGTTTTTACTTCTTCTCCACTATCAGAGTTACTACAAGGGCAAGTTAAAGTCTTGGATCTTGGGAAATTTTTAAGAGTTTTCTAATGTTTTAGTGAAAAAATGAATTAAATCCTATCTATTGTTTACAAAACTAAGATTTATTTCAGGAAAAGATCATTCAAAAGATTCTCAGATCAGAATATAGCTACTTAATAATATGAAGTAGCTCTCACAACTAGTGACCTGTAGCAAGGAAATTATCTGCAATTCCACCAAAACTGCAGCTACGGTTAGAAAAACATAATAAATTGTTCATGTAAAAAATTCCCAATAGTTTCACATCAATGCAAGTGATATCAGAGGGCTTTGCTCTGAAAAGTGAAGAACAATGCAATTTAAAAAAAGAAACTTGCTGTGTTCTGTGTTGTATTAATTTACCCTATATAATAAGCAAACTGATTTTAATATATCCCAAATTATCAGTGATTTAATCTGGCTACATTTATTTAGGATTGGTACACATAACTCACTGAAAGATATACAGATTGCTTGAGAGACTCAAATCTCTAAGAGATTAGCATGATTGTGGGCAAACAAAATCAGAAAAAAACCAAAATATGTTTCTAGTTTGGAAATGAAAGGAAAAAATTATTTTTAAATCAGCAAATGCCAATGTCTAGAATACATCTTACTCCTGAGCATGTGACTATTCACAATGAAGACATTCTTTGGCTTAAGTGCTCTGAGCTCACACTTTGACTGAGGTTTGTACTGTCCCATTTCAATTTTATTGAAATTTCAGTGATCAAGCAGAGTTCTAGAGCTGCTTTCTGAACTGTGTTATTTGAAAAGGTAACAGTACCACTGAAGCTGGCAAAAAATATGGGAGAGGGAGCTACATGTTTGTCCCATGGACAGCTATGAATTGCAACATTTAGTAGACTTAATAGTGCATCCACATAATACTAATGTGATTTTCACTCTGGCAACTGCAAGATGTGTTTGGTCTGCAAAATGCCTTATTGACCTTTAGTACCTGTTGGGTGACTGACTGAGAGCAGGAGAGCAGGGAGATGATGGCCCAGATCGGAAATTCTCATGATATCCTGCCCTAAAATACAGCAGAGAAGATGCATTACTACAGCTGAACAACAAATAAAAACAAGGTGTGTATGGAGAAATTCCAGTTAGTGAATATCAGAATTTTTGGTTCTGAGTCAGTCTGCTCACTGCTGTGCAATCAGGTAACTCATACAGTAATCAGCCTTGTGGAGACTCCTTCCCACCCCACCAACCCACCAGAGCTCCCACCATGATGAAGGAGGGTTAAGCCAAGCCACACCACACCACACTCTCTGTTGGTTCTTTACTGAGCAAAAAGGAAGCTACCCACATGGAAAGAGTTTATTTGGTTAATGGTTATTTTGTATCTATGCTACTCTGAAAGAGCTTGGTGATCAAAACCATGGTTTTTGTTATCAGAAATCATAGGACTGATCCAAACTGTAATTGCTTAAAATGGTTTACAGATTAAATAACCATTTTCTCAGACATACACACAAGCAGTTTATAATGAGGAACAGGTAATCAAACCTCAATCTACATTAGTTTTGACTGGATACAACCTTAATAGAGGTAGCAGGTTCTGCAGAAGACTGTGCTCATATACATGCTAATGAAAACAGATGTTCCTTTCTCATTGCACAGCTTCTTTTTGTAAATACCAGGCAAACAGATTCCTTATTTACCACAAGAACTGGTCTTACCATTCAGTAAGGCTTACTCAAAAAGCACAGGCAAAGCAGCAAAGAAAAAGACCTCAACAAAATTTACAGCAGAAGGCAAATACTACTCTATATGTATCTTCTTTTAAAAGGCATAATCTTTAAAGGACTAGAAAAGTAGCAATCAATATTTGTTTGGAAGATCGAGAATGAAGCTCTTGGATACCAGAGGCAGATATAACCTGACATTACCACCCTCATATTTAGCTACTTATTAGCTATAAATGTTTGTCTCAGACAATTAAAACAAATTAAGCACATGAAAAGTTATGCAGATATGTGCTGAAAGAACTACAGAGAAAGAAGTAGGAGGCATGCAGGGGGTGTGCTCCTTCCTGAAATTAGTAACCGTGGTGCCTGTAATGAGAAATCAAGTAGATAAATGTTAACAGCCTCTGTGGGAAAGCCAGAAATGAAAGGTGTCTTCACACTGCAGGACTCATCAAACCCAACCAATACAGGATGCTGAGCAGGAGTATAAGGGAGAACAGAGCAAGTAGGACTTTTCAATCTCCTCAATAACCTTTATGTTCTCACCTCCTTGCTTCCCCTGCAGAGCTTGGTTGCTGTCCCACAGTCTGGCCCAGGAACGGTCTCTGCCGAGTGTCCTCTGTGCACTGTGGAGATCGCTTCGTCAGCAACTGCTGATTCCAGGAGACATCTGCAGCCAGAGGTGGGGAAAACTCAGTATTTGAGGCAAAATGCTTTTGTCAGTATTTTAAACCATCATGGATTGTGGGCAACAACAAAGGAGAGAGATGTACTGTTCATTAAAAGAAACTTCTCAGAAATGCCCACAAAGTCAGAGACAGGTTTTGCTATATCAGGAGACCTCTATGGAACATCATTCCTTAGCATTACCCTCACATACACATGATCTACCCTGCTGCTGAATGTATTTCTGAAGGGGGAAAGGGCAAGGTCAAACAGCCATCCACAAACACTTGGGAAAATACTGTACTGCTGTAATGAAGTAAGCAGCAGAGACACTGAAACTTCTGTGGTGCTGGAGGATCCAAACTTCTCAATAGCAAGAGCTAAGGGGATGGTGGTATAGTCACTGCTCTCCATAAATCTACTGATGAACAGTAATTCCTTTGTCATTTTCTTCTGTGCTTCGGATGGCTCAGTGACTGCAACAGCAAAAAGCAACAACCTGTGAGGTGCCCAGGCAGCCAGCCATCCTGTCTTTGAGAAACAGTGCATTACCTGGACCCTGCAGGATGAATTTTGTGGCTCACAGCTGGAGGGAAGCCTTACCCTGCCATGTGCCAACCATCTGGTTTAGAGAATGAAAACTTTGCTGGGGCCTATGAAAGGCCTGCTACCTATTTTGATATCAAGACAATAAATCCACACACTTGATTATTTAAGGGCTTAAGGAAGGAGCAAGGATGGGATGCTTTAAGAGGAAAGAAAGGAGCTGTCAGAATACTTGCAGAGGACCAAATTGTTGAAAAGAACCTAAGAAAACCCTGAAGCAGGGTTATTAGCAGATGTAGTTTTAAATTGCAAACCTGTTACATTTGCTTAATTGCTACTACAAATCCCCAAGGCTGCATTGCTGGATAATATACATTCTGCTTTCTTTCTTTCTTTGTGCAACTTTTATCAAAGCACTAGGAATACAATAAAACTGAGACAAAGAAAACAAACCTACTAAGTTTAATAGGCTGAATTTGCATTTGGAACAAGTAATAACACTGAAAACCTCTCCATCCACAGACACTTAATTTTTTAGAATAATGTTTTTTTATGCTGATTTGAAAACAAAAATCTAAAACTTGATTTCAGAATTTGCATTCACTTTCTGTCTTTAGTTCTACTTATTTACTTTCCACTGACCACTTGTATTAGATAGATAATGATACTAAATTCATGAATTTGCCCTTTTTTTAGGGGGACTCTCATGACAGCAATGCTTTGGGGAAATTCCTTCCTTCAAAAACATCAATACTTATGGGAGCTAAAAAAATAAATTAACTTTAAATGTCATTAGACATTGCTAATGAAAAAATTGAGGAAGACATCGCTTTAGGCTTGGTTTGAAAAGGTTACATATTACATGTCGTGATTTTGACTGGACTGAAATGGACATGAAAAATCTAATTAGCTATAAAAACACAAAATAAGTGTTGGAAATGTGCTCTCTGTATCAAGACAAATCCTATATGTATGTAACATTATGTAAAAGATGGAAGATAATCCTTTTAATTGCTAATGTGAACATGCAGGCCTATAAACGAGATACCTGCTGCAGAAACTGTCATCTCTGATGAAAACAAGAGGAGTTTACATTTCACCTCAACATATTTATCCTTGCTAATATAAAATAAATTTTTATTCTGAGACATTCCAGTTTTGAAGATATATGTGTACTGTCCAAAGTTGTTTGAGTTAGCTTCCTGCCTGATTTCTATCTGGAGAAGAACATATGCACAGGAAGAGTCTTACTGTCATCCTGAGCCAGTGGCAGGTTCAGTCTGGCAGGTGAGCTGCGCTCCATCACCGGCATGTGGTGCTCCTGCTCACTTCCTCCTTTCAGGACACCAGCCCCTGGGTATCCTGAGAGCACTTTATTTCCACTGCCAATAAAAATAAGTCGCATTGTATAAATAAAGCCAGAAGAAGTGTCACCTAGAACATAATGGCTAAATCAGACTTTTGAATATCAGTCTATTTTTTACAAAGAAGATTTTAGTTATCGTGTCAATTTTGCAATGACAAAGCAATGAAAAAACTTTGATGAATTAACAAGTTTGTCTCCAAACAGTCCAAGCCTTCCTGCTTACCTCAAACTGCCACTTAGATGTGCTGAAGATCATTTTGGATTTGTAGAAAAGGGCTTCTTTGACAGAAAAAAAGCTTTAATCCATGTTCTCTATACACTGCTCAGCATCATCAGATGCCTCTTCTCTTTTGTGAAACCTGTTAATTAGCAGTTGAGCAAAGTCCAGGACTTCAAACACCCCCTGGCAAGATTGGGTATGGCATTTCTGAGACAGCCAGGCAATTTCACACAGGTTCTGAGTGAAAACAGCTACTGCTCCTTTAGTCCTTCAGATGGCTTGTGAAATGTGAACAAGACACAGCGCAGTGATGTACACAGATGTCTGAGCTGTCTAAGGTCTAATCTGGTTGCTGTGACAGTCTCTTTGCAAAGCCATACAAGGAAAAGACAAGCCTTCTGATATGCACAACTAGCACTGTGCACTGCCACATGTGCATCTGTGTGTGGGACCAGTGAATACTGGTCAGGATACATTGTACAGAGACCACCAAGTACTGATGCTCCAGCATCAATTGTGGGCACATGTGATATCCCAGAAGCCAACAGAACACAAAGCTCCACAGGGTTATGAAATGCTTAGGGTTAATACATACCTCCTCTTTTCTTGCCAGAGTTCACTTTCCTTGCTTTTCAGAGATAACATACTGTCCTGCTCCCAGAGCAGCTTTTTCTGCTTTGTAACTTCTTTTTGCTTGCCTTCCCCTGGACAGCTGTTTGAATCAGTTGAGTTCTAGAAGACAGATGAAGAGGGAACAAGGATCTCCCTTTGAATTTGGCATTGGTGCACACATGGGAAAAGTACAGGCTGCCCCTAGATACATCGTGTAGACACACCTTATTACCAAAAAGAACATCTCACATTTATACAGTAGAACCATTTGACCCTGGTAAGGCTAACTTTGGATTTAATTAAGACTTTAGCTGAAACAACAACTGGTTGGACTAAGCTGAGCATGAAATAAATTAGGTACCAATTATGGTGCTAAGGACGGCAAATTAAAACTTCCCGTTACATAATCTTTGGCAGAAATCCTTGAATTATTTTGAGAGTCTAGACAGTCTCCCATTGGACTTGTGAGGACTTTGTGAATGACCTCAGCTTGCTGTCACTGCCTAGGAGCAAAGTATTACTCACATGCACTGGGCATACTCAAAGGGCAATGCCAGTACTACTTCCAAAGTGGTACAGGAGTGGTTCATACCTCACTTGTGGAGCTTGAAGAAGCAATGGCATGAGATCCTTTGCTTCTGGGTGCAGGCAGTGTCCTGACTGTGGCATAAGCAGCTCCAGCAAGAAAGTTACTGCTACACAGCCATGTGGAAAATTTGCCATGGCAGATGTCTTTGTACAGGGATGAGTGAGAACAGGGGGGCAGGAAGAGTGAGAGGAGAATCAATGGATAGAAGTACTCCTAATCCTGAAGTTCAATGGAAAAAGGCAGATGACTGGATGCAGGTGCCTTAGGCAAAAGAAATTACATCTGTGAATCCCACATTTACTCAACTGTGATCTCACCGGGGGTGTCATTCCCTGATCTCTGCAAACACTAACTTAATCAGATGCTAGATGCATTGAATTAAACATTTTTTGCTGTATGAGTGAAAAAAAAAGCCAAACAAACACAGAGAGTAAACATTCCTCTGTTTGTTTTGCTGCCTTCTAGGAGGGATAATGGTAGAGAAAAGGAGGAAAACTGGGGAGGTAGGATTCAGTCTTATCTGAGATATATTAAAAAAGCACTATTTTACACTCACGGTTTTGTATTCAGGGAAACCACTTAAAATTTTGTTGGCTTTTGAAGATAATTAACCCTTCACAGCACTGGTTAAGGAACAGAGCAGTTGCAGACAAAGAATCATTCTCTGCTCTAGTTAAAAAAGGGATGGTAGCAGTTTCCTTAGGAATACAGCTATTCAGTGAAAATCTGTACATTACAGCACTCTGAGGCATCACCAGTTAGAGATGGGACCCAGTGAATACCCTTACCCTTACTGCTCCCGGACTTTGACAGCCTTTAGCAAAGGATTAAACTTTGCACTAAAGATGGCTTACTCTTCAGTGCCTTACTACTCCATGAGAAACTCACCACTGTCTTGTTTCCTTCAGTGGTAGAGGAAGAAGAGGAGAGGAGCTCAGCAGAGTTTGAAGAAACAATGAATGGAACTACAGTATCCTCAATTATCTTTCGTTCCTGAAGAAACAGGATCACAAGAGAGTGGGGGTTAAAAATACAGAATGTAAACAGTGAGCTTATGAAACATAAGAAAAATAAGATTTGGCTATATGCCAAATTTAGATGGCCAGATAAGGACTTGTGGTACCAAGAAAAATGGTAACACCTCAATTTTTAATTTGCTTCAAGGTTTTGTACTTCCATTCCTTTTATCATTGAGATGGAATTTCCAAACCAGGAAAGAATATTTCACTTGCATGGAACTATTGTTTTGCAGAGCACAAGTATATTAAGTTTAATATGAAAGTATGAAATTACCCTTGGTACATGAGAAACTTATTCTGAAAGTTGAAAAAAATTCTTGTTTAGACCACAAGTATGTCCCTCAAGCACAGATGAGAAACCATACATTTACATAATACATATACAAACTTATAAACATTTTCCAGTTTCCTTTAATAATGGCCCACATACAACAGAAGAAAACCACTATCTTCTAGATTGTAATATTCCACAACTGCACACTTTGAACATCTCCTGTGGATTTTTTTAAGGCTGGTTTCAAAATTCCTCCATGATCAAATCCAAGGCAAGACAACAATTCCACCTGGAGTTCCACCAAGTCTAGGCACCAAGTATATGCCAAAATACACAGGGCTCTGCCCCTGCAGGGAAGTCTGGGCATGCCCAGACACAGCTGTACTGACTCACCCAGACTTACACAGCAATTAGACACCTCCACCTATGCGGAGGTGCTGAGGATACATGTCCAAATATTTAAATATTCTTCCTCAACATCTATGACAGTGTTTAAGTGAAACAGTCCTCCTCGGAATTTAGCCTTGAAGAGGATTTTCATTAATTAATCTAGGTATGGGATGATTTTTGTGTTGTTTTTGCATCCAAAAGAGGGTTGCATTTAAATACAAAAAAAAAAAACCCCAAAACAACCTCCTCTTTGAGCCTTATACCTCCTCATAGTATCTACGCTCCTCCTCTTCAACTTCTCTCTGGGCCTTTTCCCATTCCTCTTTCAGCTTGTACTGCTCCTTCTGATACTTCTCCTGTACATGGACACAAATGCAGATAAATTCAGAGCACTCACTGTTAAGAGTAAATTCTGTCGTATCTCCACAGCAAAAATGAATTTGTTAAGAGTGATTTAATAAGAAATAGGATTAAATAAAAGGATAAAAATTGGCAATGTCCACGGGTGTCAAAAAAAAAAAAGCTTCTTTTCCACTTTGCCCATTTTTTTCTAGGACTTACATTTAACACCTTCAAACTTCAAGGAATTTTTGACACATTAGAAGTAGTTTAATTTCTTAGAATTTTAAAAATCATTGGTCAGAAATTAAGTTTATACTCAAAAATATTAATAATTTCTTGTGTGTCTTACTGTATTAAGTTTCAAAAATGTTTCACAGAGCCCGAAACACTGAGACAATGGTTGTACATTAAAAACTTCAGCAAAGTAGCATATAAATAAGCAGGTTTTGCAGATACCGGGACTAATTTAAGAGATATGCCAATAGGACTAATTTAAGAGATATGCCAATACAATTTAATGAACGATGAATGATGAACTATGCAAGTTTAAGAGATAAATAGTGTGCACAGCTTTGAAGAGAGTAAGATTATAATTAGCTAAATAGCTTATTTTCTCCCTTGAAGGGATGATTTCTTAAGAATGGTTTTCACAGAGCTTTGCACAAAAAATTATCTCAAAGAGGTGTTTAAAATTGTTTGCCAGAGCTTCTCATTTGAATATGGAGAGGAATGGTGACTTCCATTTCCCTCTTGCACCAGTTCCAACATCTGTTCAGTTCAGTAACCACATCTGCCTAATCCAGAAAACAAGTATTTACTATTGAGAGAGTACCTCCATGTGCCAGAAAAATTATTATGAGAATTTTACACTGTTTTAATATGTGCAAAATAGATGATCTCAAGAAAGCATAGAGATACACAAGTCCTTCTTAAAGGATTAAAAGATTTTATTATTCTCCATCCCTGGACAGTTATTTGCTTTCCTGTTAGATGGAACAAAGATGTGATTTCTTTGGGATCAAAGCTAGTCACAGTTTCAAAAGACACTCCTGACTAACTGGGAGATTCTCATGTCCACTGCATTTCTTCCAACTAGGACACAAATCTAGAACTTTCAGAGTTCACTGTACCACCAGGCAAAACTAATGGTTGTCTTGAAGATGTTTCCTTCTCTTACAAAACCCCCTCAAACCCAAGTCATTTCATGTCCAAGTTTAGCTTGGTATTTTCCAAGAAGAACCTGTGAACAAAGCAGAATCCTATGAAAAGCTATTACGACCATAATTTTAAAGAAGGATTAAAGAAGAGGCATCAGGGTCAGCAAATTTGTCAGTCTTGACAAAGAGGCTCCAAGTAATTAAGAGTTTTGCAGTTGATGCTCAGCATAATTTAAATATAATTGAGGACCAACATATTTGGTTTAACTCTGCAGTGGACCAAGTCTTTTTGATCTTTCCATGGAGTGGGGAAGGGAGACATGAGAGTGCCTAAACCACACAGAACGTGTGTGGTTCTCATTTATCACTCAACTAGAGCAAACAGAATTTGCTCAAGCATCCACAGAGGATGTGGACAACATGACACAAAATGCACAACTTTTGTCCAAAAGAACAATTCAACAGCTGAACCACACAGTGGAAGACATAGAGTTTCTTCCTTACCTGAAGTAAGCGTTCTTGCTCATGCTGCCACCTTTCCTGGCGCTTTCGCTCTTCTTCTGGATCCCAGGACCAAAAATTGAACCGCTTACAAGAAGGAAAACCAAGCTATTAGACTGTGACACTACACTTCAGATGGCTGCCAGAGAAAACTGCACTGGGCCTGATTAAGTCCTGCCAATGATGTTACAGTGGGAAACTGGGAACTAGGTACAGGTTCTCTCAGTTAACAAACAATATTCTTAGCTTCACTGACACTTGGGATTGCCCATTTGTAGCCACATGATAAAATAATTATTTGGTTTGCAAAGAAAGTCTTGGGAAACTTCAGGTGAAGGGGGGGAAAAGGTCTTAAAGAAAGCTCTAAGCATTACTGAACAGAGTCACCTCCAGGGACTCAAATTTAAAGAACACACATATTTTGCTTCTCTATAACCTTCTTTACAACATGAAAAGCAATCTTAGGTTACAAAAAATATTCTCTCATTTTATGTCTGCCAGCACAACAGCCTATAGCCTTGCTTTGAATTTTTATTCATGATAAAATAAATCCTCAGGCTTCACTAAGGATCCTATTACATGCTATGTTTAAAATCTTTATAACCAAGGGCAACTTTAGATACTTCGTGCCATATCCCTTCCACTACAAGTAGTGTTTGAATCTCATAGGAAGAAATGATGTTTATTTCTTTATGACAAACAGAATGTGAAATACTATGTACTTCAGAGTAGCATTTGTGGTATGTTGGGTTTTTTTGTTTCATTGAGGAAACAGTAGAATTGTGAAGTCCTTTCATTTCTATGCATTTAAAATACAATGGATAATTTAGAATTACATATTATTTAGAGATTGTGAAGCTTTAGTGGCTCCAGCAACCAAATACTTTACAGTTAGCTCCAGATGAGAGGAGAATACATTAATTCCAGATTCAGACAATGCTTTGATTTGGGTTGTACTTTTCCTCTTATGTGTCCATGAGAAAAAATTCTCATTCTGATTTAGGGATGTTATAAGAGAGTTTGCATAAAACATAAATTTCTGCTAAAAACAAATCACAAAACCAAACAATAATGCAAAAAAGGTACTCACATTTGATTTATCACCAGTATCAGAATCAGCTATTAAAAAAAAAACAAACAACAGAACAATGAGAGATTAAATTTAACATAGCAAAATTTCCTCAGCCTGTAAATAAATCTACATTATATCTGTATGTTAGTTTCCTATTTACTCCCACAACCAAATGCAAGGACTAATTGCAAGCAAATAAATCAGAAAACCAGATTATACCCATCACCAACAAAACTACTTTTTATCTGGGTTTAAAGGAGCATAATATTAACTAATATCAGGTTCTACTCTACCACTAGCTAATGCCATCTACTTCTGGCCACAGATGTTAGCAGTGTACAGACACTGAGTCTTACCTACCTTGATCTACTTTTCCCTTCGTGATTCAGTGCAAAGAAGGAAAAAGTACAGCAATGCTAAAAGGATGGGACTACACTACTCAAGAGCCACAGTTACGAAGAGAACCATTGCCATTTTCTATCCAAATGTCTTTGAAAATTAGACCAATTAAAAGAAATCAAGAAAAAGTTATTTATAGGCAAGGGATTTCTTTTGGGTGCCTGAAACCAGAGCATCACAATAATGTGCAACCCAACAGCTCTTTGTCAACTGTGCAGCAGGAACAGATATTTTCTACGAAAGCAAGAGGTAGAACAAGTGCCCGTGGTGATCAGCTTTCACCCAGCGCCGTGTCTGAAGACACCTGAGGCTGGGGAGCAGAAGGGCTGGAGCTGCTCCCACGCCGCATTTACCTGACTGCGAGAAAAACTGCGAGCGCCGCCAGTGGTTGCGGACCCTAAGCGGAACCACGGCCCCGCGGGGCGGCTCTGCAGGCAAGGGCACGGAGACAAAACAAGAAACAGCGCGGTGAAAAGGTGATGACAGACTCTCAGACCTCAGCCACCTTGGCCATGAGAGGGATTTGTCTACAGCTGCTTTGGTCCATGGCAGTTAATTTACAATGGACTTGAAGATCACACGGACTGTGTGTATTTAAATACGCTTCTGCAACATGGCACCTGAACATACGTGAGAGCTCAAGGACACTGATGCAAGGGCAGCCACCCTTTTGAGTCTTTGCACGGTGCTTGCAGTCATTCCTATTGCAGATACAGGTTTTAATGCATTTTGTGAGCCTTTCAGTGCTCTATATGCTGTGAACACTAGAGAGCAGCCAAGTGTTTCAGCACCAGTCAGAAAACTGACAAGGCAAGAGACCTAAAACCTTTTACTTGCTATTTGGTTTGATTTGCTGAACATAAAATGATATTGTTCTCAAAGTCTGCTTGGGTAGCAGCTACCCACTAAAAACACGTGAGAATTCCATTCCTTTTCAGACAACCATAGAGTGGTTTGGGTTGGAATGAATCTTAAAGATCATCTAGTTTCAATTCCCGCTGCCATGGACTGGGACAGTTTCCACTGGATCAGATTGCTCAAAGCTTCATCCAGACTAGCTTTGAAGGCTTGCAGGGATGGGGCACCTATAACTTCTCTGTGCAAATTATCTTAAAAAACTTCTTCCTAATATCTAATCTAAACCTACCCTCTTTCAGGGTAAAGTTTTTGTTCCTTGTCCTATCACTACATGGCTTTGCAAAAAGTCCCTCTTCAGTTTTTTCAAACTGGACCACCTTCAGTAGTTTTAACCTTGAAAACATTAGGCTAATCAGTATATTACCTATAGATTAACAAGCTAGGATGTTCTTATGGGGAAAAAACCATCAGTTGATTTTTCTCTTTTTCTTCCACAACACCTACATTTATGCATATTTAAAAGTAATATAAAATCAAACTACTAAACATTATCAGTCTCAAGCAAAACTTTGTTAGGAAGGCAATGAAAAAGACATTGTGACAACTTGTGTTGGGCAGTGGTCAAATTCAAGGATGTGGTCAGATATGTGTATTGTTCTTGTATGAAGAGGAGCTCCACAAGAGCAGCTGAGTGCAGAATTTATCTCCAGAAATTTTATTGTGAGATAAAGCCAATTGCTAAGGCGTTTTCATCTGTGAGCAGTGGTATGTAACACTCATTAACATAATACAGCCTTTAGTGCCAGGCCAGGTAAATGCAAGATAGAGCTCTCCCTCTACTGTGTCAAATTTCTGCTGTTGTGTTTAAGAGGACTAGCCAGAAGAATCCTTTTCATCACAGAAGCCACACTACCAATATCAGTCAACGAAATTAGAAAATTACTGTTTTAGCTCCAAAACCCTCCAAGTCATGGATTAGGCACCTCTCCCTGAACACCACATGCCCATATTCAGCTGCTGTCTGGCTGAGTTTTCCAAATGCTTTTTGCTCACCTTGTGGACCAGAGTTATGCAGAGTAACTTGGCTGGTTTCTGGTAGTTTCTTTAAAAATGGCAGCACTACACTCCCCTTTTCTTCCAGGGCTTTTGCTTTAATCACCTGTTCAGACATTTGGGAGCAGAAAACATCATTTAAAAAGGAACAGGTTCAATCAAAGGTCAGCTGAAACCCTTTCTACTTATTTTCTGAAACAACATTATCAAAGATGAAGCCTCTATCTTCAGAACGACAACAGGAAGTTGCAGTATTGAAGTCCTGTAAGTAACTGGTACTGTTTCCTGTTGACATTCTCACTGCCCTGCACAGCAAAGTCAATCCTCTATCACCATCTGACTAACCAACATCTGATTTACCTGAAAGAGCAATATGGTCACAGCTGTTTGTTACCTCTGCCACCACCAGCACTTGTTCAGCACTTCTAGAGGACTAAGAGGATAAGTTCCACTGTCTGCACCACCTGGATACCTTGCCCTCCCAACAGGTGGTGGGACTGGGGTTTGTAGGTTAATTTCTCATTTCTAGTCTCACCAGTTTACAGGTTCAAATGCTACAGGCATGCACTGTGGAGTTCCTTTTGAGGGGGAACTCTCTGATGACCACACGATTTGGCAGCTGAAACCATCCTTCAGGGTCATGTTTTGAACAAACTCCTGAAGTGACATTTTATGGAGAAAATTACCAATTTGCACAATAAGCATTTCTATGTAAGAGATTTCTCTTTCTTTTTTCTTTTTTTCCCTCCACTCCCTCTTTTTCTTGCCTGTATATACCTCTTGTGTAGAAGGGAGCTCTGCTTCCTTCTGCTGCTCTGTTTCAGCTTTCTTCACATCTTTCTTGCTTGAAGCATTTTCCTCTGAAGGGACAGGACTGGGAAGAAATTCTAATCTCTTCACAACAGGGCTGGAACAAGCTGCAGTTGACTTGAATTGCTTTTGATCTAAACCCAATCCAGACATATAAGAGATAGTGTTGCAAGGTTAAGATACTTTTTCAAATAAAACATGCCTATTTCTTACAATCCAGTTTCTTACTGGATGTACTGTGAGCCCATTTACTGTATGTTTTGAAAAAAGAAAATTTTTTCTTCAACACTGGAAAAATTAATCTCTCAGAGAAGATGAGACTCAAAGAATGAAATTCACCTATCAAAATTTATGCCCTTACACTTGACTTGGGCATCATGGGACACCCTTCGTGGTCAACCAAAACACACAAGAAGTCCTTGTGAAAGAGTCACACAAACTTTTATTTCAGGCACTCCTCTGGCTGAGATGAGCTGTAACCTACAATGGGCCTACTGAGCTAAGATCTCTTTCCTTATGTGATGACTCCTACCCTAAGATGTTACAGAGATAAGTAGCTATATGACCTGGTGTCACTATCAGCACTGGAGGATATTTCATATTGCCTATTTTCACTAAACTTACCACTTCCACTGACAATCAGTTAAGCATCAGACAACAAACTGCTAACAGGCAGCCTTGGACTGGAATAACCTAGTTGTCATCTAATTCTTAAAGAAACCCAACAAGTTGATGCTGGTTTCTGGGAGAACAGCCTAGAAGCACACAGGTCGACAGCTTTGACAGCTAAACTGCTGATAGCTGATACCACCACGGCAAGCAGAGCAGTCACCAGCATCTCAGGCACTGAATAAGCACCCAGACAAGTCTCCAACCTCCTCCAGGAGAAACTGCAGATCCTGTCCCCTTTCCACCACAGCAGCATTGGCAGCTTCTGAGTACACCTCTTTAACAGGCTGGGAGAATAAGCTAAGAAAGAGATGCAGCTCACAACTCCACAAAGAATGTGGACAAGCAGAGACAAGAGCTGCTGCTGCCAAGGCAGATGCACCCTCCTCTGGAGTTGTTTCCCCACCATTAGTGCCACAGGGGCCACAGCATGGAAGTGTTTGGCTTGTACTGAACAGCAGATGAGTTGTTTACAAGAAGTTCACACAGTTTGGACCTCATCCATTCCTCCAAAGCAGACATAATGAAAACTCCATGTTACTTTATCATTTCAATTTTAGCAATGCTATGTCAGTTTTCCTTGCCAGACAATATTAAAATTTGCTGTCAGTACTTAAGGTTTAGCATTTCTGACAGCTGGGGAGCTGCAGCCAAGGTGGCTTTGTGATTTGTAGACAGCACCAGCTCATCACTGTTGACTCTTGAGAGGAGAATTTTGTCATTTCATTACAAGATTGTACCTTCTACATTACCTGCCAGATGCAACTCAAAATTGTTAAACTATGTACTTTGGCATCTAGGAGCCAAAGTAATTAAGGCAGCTAATGAACCCTTGCTAACAGCCCATGTGCTTCTAATCTTTGGGGAATGGTACCTCACTGATGTTTGAGGGCAAAGCTCAATTGTTTAAGTCACACTTATCCTCAGCGAATAGGAGCATTATTCTTACATACCAACTACAGCCAGTGATCTCATTTAAACACCTACTTGACATAGTACTTTTTACTGACATAAACCAAGCTGAACTTTAATAGACACATTTTAAAAAATGAACAACAAAAAAATACCATGAACTTAATATAACAGCATACAGCAAATAAAGTGCCTACTCAAAGACAATGTTTCAGAAACACACTTTTGAGGAAAACAGCTTAAAATTCTACCAGCAAATTCCTTTCCTCAGATTAGGAATCATGCATAAAGGCTTTAAGGCAGAAAATTAGAAGTCTGCACAATACTGTCCATTTAAAGCCCCTACAGGGAGTGAAGTGCCCCTTATTACTCTTTCTCCCCATTCCTTAATGTCTTGAGGGGGAAAAAATGTGCCAGAAACTATTAGTGACTGGTAGCTTCTGCTCTTGTTGCTTTCTGGTTACAGCATGCTGTGACAGTGGCTTCTCAGTCACACAGATGGACAACTGGACCACTCAGGTGTGTCATTTCAACTACAGAATGACAGAACAGCCCAGGCTGGAAAGGACCTCAATAGACCATCTAGTCCCACCTCTTGTGGGAAAGGGAGCCAGAGGAGATTCTTTAGCACCCTGTCCAGCTGCACAGGAAAAACCTCCTGCCACAGGGGTTCTAATACATCCCTTGGGAGGCTGCTGCAGTGAATGTTCTGACAGCGTACAATTTCATTTTATGTTAAGATTACTGACATTTGCAGCATTTTCTAATGAGTCCTGTTGGTGCTGCTGGTGGTGCTCTTAGCAGATTCCTGCCACAGGGTGTGCCTCAACCCCGGCCCATAGGTGAGGAAGGGCAAGGGCAGGGTGAGGGGAGGCAGCACACTCACCTGGGGATGGGCACTCTGGGGGGGCAGGTGTCACACTGCTGGGACTGGGCTCGGCTTGCAGGCTGTCAGCTGCATTCAGTTCCACTGGGGAGGCCTGGAGAGAGGAACACAGCATGGAGTGAGCACAGTGGAAATAAAAGTATGTGCTAGTTCCTCAAGGCAGTGCTTGCTGCTCCTTTGTAGTGTGTCCGAACCACATCAGTGTGGAGCTCAGCAGGGTGTTGGGGAGAATGTTTCAGAGGAATATGTGCCCATTCTGGTATTGAATGGCTGTGCTTTAATCTCCTTTTCAAATCACTCATCATCAGCCATTAATGTGGTTGGTTTGGAATAGCTCATACAAGCTTTTAAAACTGTAGGATATCTTGGATTGTGTTAGCTGGAGATAAGCACACATTTCACCCCTAGTTTCCCCTTCCAGAATAACACACAAATGTATGCATTAGTGAACAGATAGCACATACTAGGGTTTGGAAAGTGGCAAAGTAATGAAATACTTCCTTTATTTCACGGTTGTCTAAACAATCTGTTATCTGAAGGGAAAAGCCAGAGTTTGTATTAAAGGTAATGAAATACTTGAAACACTATTAAGAGAGGACTGAAAAAATATGGTGAGACTGTATCAAGCCAATAATTCAAATGCCTTTGAAAAGCAAGCTTCCTGACCTGGACAGGGCTTCTGCAGAGTTAAGACTACACTGTCAAAACAAGGGTAACACTTCAGCTGATCTATTCAGCAGCTTCCACCATACGTCTGCTTTTCCAGAAGGCAAACCAAGAAAAATCTGCAGGAAAGCTAACAGCCATTGCCAATAGCTTGTGCTTCTAATGCATCCAAGGTCTATAAAATGGCACATTCAATGGAGGAAAATAAAAAATGCAGACTAATTTTTGATATAAAAAGTAACATATTTCAGAAATAGCCTATTGTGCACTCTCTGTCCTATTCCCCCTCCTCCATCTTCTTAACAGCTGCAAAGGAGGAAATCTGATCAAATTTCCTCTTTTCTGCAGGCAGGAATCAACCCTCACCTTATGTACGGATCCTGTTTCCTATCCCTGCAGGCCCACATGAGCCTATGGCCCCTTATCTGACCATGCCCCATGAAAAACAGACCTGGGGTCTCACAGCCCATAACTGGAGGCATCTGCTGGCAATACCAACAGGATGTCAACACCTTCCCACAAAGCTCCAGAGAACTTTACTGCTGGCATAGCTTGTGAATCCCCACCCTGTCTCCTCTCTGGAGGGAGACACGCTCTCAAGAGGGGCAGGACCATGTCTAGGAAGATGCCCTGCAGACCGGTGTGGGGCCATGGCCAGGGCCAGTGACCCAGGCAAGCTCAGCAGGCAGCCAGCAGTGCTGGGAACAAGAGAAGGGTCCTGCAGCTGCCAAGGGCTGTGCTGCCACCTCTCAGCAGGACAGGCACCAGATCACAGCCACGAGTCTCTAGAGGCAGCAGTGCTTGCTGGGGCTGGCTGCCTGCCATCCTCGTCACTGCCACCACTTTCCAGTGCACCCTCACCTCTGCCACCCTCAGCCTCTGTCCCAGGCAAGACATGGAGACACATCTCCCACCTGCCTAAAAGCTGCTCTTCAACTGGATGAGGCAGAAAGTGAAATAGTGTCTACAAAAAGGTAACGTGGAAAGTTTCAGGACTTCCTCTCTACCATGTCCACCTGTGAATGCATCTATACCAAGAGTGAGGAAAGCACAGACCTCTCCGTCCAAGTCTCACACACTCCCAGGAGGGGTGGTCTCTGGAGATGAGGCACAGGCTAAAACATAGCCCCAGAGAAATGCTCCAAAGACTGCAAGTCCTGACTTGCAGTCTTTGGACTCTTGCCACTTAGTTGCTCTTTTCTTTCATATAACCCACCTCTCTATCCCCCAGTTCATCTGAATGCCAGCCTGGTGTGTCACTGAGAGTTTCATCACAAAAGTCCCAGCAGAATTCTACTGCAACTAAAGAAAATTCCCCCTTCAGCCTCAGTTCTGGCTCCTGATGCAACAGCAGTCGGGGGAGAAGCTACAGGAAATCCTTCCCAACCTTGCTTAAAGCAGAAATAAGTATTTTCTTTCTGCATGAGGACAGGCTAGCCGGATAGGTTGTGCCATCTCCATCCCCAGAGGTGTTGAATGATCAAGCCCTTAGCAACCTGTTCTGATCTCATGTCTGATCCTATTTTGAGCAGCAGACTCAGCTAGAGACCTACAACCTGTCATTCTACAACCTACAAAACTCTGTTTAACCTAAACAAATGGCTATTATTGAGAGCTCATGATTTGCCCTAAACAAGGTAGGTTTCATGGAAAAGCAAGAGGCTCCACACCCACTGTCCAAACCATAAGCCCTCCCAAAGAAATTGTGGTAGATTTCAATTACTGATATTTACATTGATAATATTTTTGGCAAAACAGTGGAATTCACCCTTCACTCTCAAAAAGGAACTGTCCAAATTGAAAAATTAAATAAATAAATACATTCAACTTTAATTTCAACCTCAGAGGCTTTAAAGCGATAAACTGTTATATTCGCGGGGCCAATACAAAAAGTGTTAAACTACCAAGAAAGTCAATTGATGATGTCAGCTGCTGCTGGAGAAAGACTACAGCCACTATGGCCTCTCAGAGGGGCTAAAATTCACTGTTGCTCAGTGAATGCTGCAGTGATGCATGATGCACAGACATGATGCACCTGTACCACCTCTGGGTCTGCAGTTACCTCAGCAACCCAAACACGGTGCTGTCGTGCAGCTGTCCTGCACGAGCACAATAACTAAACCTACCCATCACCTATATCCAGGAGGTTGAATCAGTTATAGACATAAATGTTATTTATAGAAAAAAGAGCTACTTCTTGCTGCAGGAAAATTGACTTTCCAATGGCATGCTGCAGAAGTTCTATTCCTGCTCACGAGACTTGACTCTTTCTCCTCCCTCCGCTGAGCAATTAAATAGTAGTGACATACAGCTAAAAATATAAAACTGATTAATAACTAATTTATAAAAAAATTAAGTCAACTTCACTGGGGAACTCTCTTATTTCCACTAAATTTAATTCTATTTATAACACCAAATTAATGTAGTATTATCTAGTATTTTATCCATAGGTATATGATACACTTAAGAAAATTTTTGTGCTGATACAACTGATAAAATATCTTTTCTACAGACTATTATGCTTCACATTTCATAAATATTTGTAGTCAAATGATGATGTTATCACTGAACATAAAAAAGGTGTACAAACATTTCATTACACCTAAGAGGACTGTATTTTCACTGAAAGACTCAGTAACCCAGTGAATGACATTTCTGAGGTGCTTCAGTTCTGGGTGCAGCTCTCATGCCTTGTGATGAAGGACTCTCACCACCCTTCTGTCATTTGTGTCTGTGGGGACAGAGGTCTCTTTCTGCAGGGCAGCAGAGCCATTCAAACACAGGCTCTGCTGAGGTGCATGTGAGGGAAGGTCACACAACACCACCACAGGCAATGAAGCCTTCAAGAGGAGTATGGAAAACCTCAGTGCAGGGGGCTGTGATTATCTCTGTCCACACATCAGCCTGGTGTCCAGACTGTCCTACTAAAACTTCTAAATACTGAAGAATGCTGTCTGCTTGGATGGGTGTTTTGATTGCCCTATGCATCTGGATGCCCAGGAGTTAAAGTAAGCTTCCCCATTTATGACTCAGCCTTAATTAATGATGGAAAGTTAAATACTGTGATGGCAGTTGTGGTTATGAGTACATCAGTACAGAGGATAAAGCAACACCCGTGTTCTGCTAAACAAAGTATCCATTTAACAAAGACACAAGCATACAGTGTTACCAAACACCTATTAGCCATAAAAATAAATTAGTTCAGCTTGTGAGAGACAGTATTTTAATCACATAAACTAGTATATCAGTCCAAGCATTTTTTGATTAAGATTATACAAGCCAGAAATGGCCATAGTGGCTACTGCTGTGGCAGAACTTTACAGCCTTAATAAAACCCTAAAAATACAATAACCAGAAATACCTAGCACATAAAGTATCACAACTTCTACAAGAATACAAACTCCAAAGGAAGTTAGAGTAGAACTTTATTAATCCTTCTTGTAAATGAAATCAAAATATAGCTCAGTTAACACTGCTTGCACACAAAATCATGTGAAATATTGTTATTGTATTTTATATGAAAGCATCACAAACCAAGCTGTCTAGAACCAGTGAGAATGCAGAGATATCAAGACAGAATCAGGTTAAAACTACAATTTAAAATCTGTAAAAGCATTCAGGAATGAAAGTGGTTGCAACATCAATAGCCACATGTAGAAATTGTCTGACAAATCACAAAACTGTGATTAGAATTCTACACATATCACTGACTAAAAATTTTTTATACAAAGATTTCCTCATCAAAATTAATGTTGGCAGCTGATGTGAGTGGTAATGATGGCGCAGCCTTGGGCTGCCACAGCTTAGTTTCTTGCATGCTATGCCAGATATAGTACTACAGCCAAAACACTGCTTCAACAGGTTAAGTCATCTGCCAGCTATATAATGCTATATTCAGGCCAGCTATTTACAACAAAAGATCAGGGTAATCAGTAACTGACAGAGAAGTCCTGAAAATGTTGCAAGAAAGTATGAAGTATTTCTGATAGTCATTAGAGTTATTACTGCTCAACTGGTGTGTAAAATCAGCTTCTTTCACTGACAGACAGTGAAAAGTACATGGCTGTCTGAAGGACAGGAGACAGGCATGTTATGCTCATAACCTGCTGAGCAGAGTTCCCTTCTAGCTGCTTTGAAGCTTTGCTGCTCTCACTTCTCATCCTACACCTTTTTCCCTTCAGGTAGTCCAGCCCTCTGTGCATCTTTTCATGTGTGGTTCAAGGCAAAGCTGTCAATCTGGAACAGACAGACTTACTTTACGAGTGTATCTCATAATGAATCAAAGAACAAAGACTTGTCTTACCGGATACGTACAAACCAGGATTTCAGCCCTGCTCTCCTGTAGCTTGGGCAACAATTCTCAACCACAAGAAAGCTTGTACTTTAATCTCAGCTCGATCAGTGAATTTTTCCACATGAAGGAGAGTGTTACTTGGATATAGAAAATAAGTGAATTTTTTGCCAAGCGTGCAGTGAGTAGAAATGGACAAGTTTAAGCTAGCTAGAGAGAAATTAAAAGAAAGCTGTCTCTCCCCACCACCACCTCACCCTGATCTTTTTTAGGTTGCTGCCTATTTTTTTTTTGGTTGATCTGAGCAAAGTTATAGTTAGAGCTGTAGGAAGCCAACAATTTCTACGTGCTTGCATAAAGATTGGTTAAAATAAAGTGATGTTACTTACTTACTGACAAATTAATTCCCCTACACTAAAATCTGCACAAACACTGTTCTAAAACAAAATATTTACTTTGCCAACTTCTGATTCAAAGAGCTAGCAGATACAACTTCTCAGCACTCGTAGCATCCACCACTATTGTGTAAAATGGGAAGAAAACACCTAAATGGCTCATAGGTAGGACCAGAATGAGGAGATGATTTCCACATTATTGCTGGTATTGCCACTGACTGATCAGTCTTTGGGCCCAGTTTTTCCAACTGCATTGAGAGGTATAGGAATGCTTTACCTACCACCCCTCTTAGCACCACATTGCTCCACAAAGACCAGTGGGATATTTTCCTCCTGTTTGTAGGTCAAGTTTATCCTTTTTAGCCTTTAATCATAGGCAAAATTTCATAAGCTAATTTAAGCAATGGTAAGTCTCTTGTAAACTCACTTATACACTACCTATACTCTACCTAAAGCTCTACCTATACTCTAGAGATATAAGTACATTTTTTGATAATATTTTTCTTTACTGTCCTGCCCACCTGCTGCAGGTTTTTGCATCTCATTTCACTGTAGATTTAGGCAGATGCACATATGTTTCCCAGTCAATCTCTGGTTGCCAAACATTATTTGATTCACATATAGATGGGGTCTTTCTCTTCTCAAAAAGACAACTGACACTGAGGTCTCACCCACAGGAAATGATCTCTGCACTTCCCTTGCTCCTCAAGAGCCTCAATAGTATTAGTGTTTTAAGTGGTACAACTTAAATAAACTTCAGGCCAAAAGCACTGTTGGAGTACAGTTGCATTGCATCTTCCCCTGTTGCAGACAATGCCTGAGGGCAGCCAGACAGATTCAAACTAGGACTACAGAAGGGACTTCAAAGGGAAGCCTGCCAGGCTGAGAGAAGACAGAACTCATCCGTTTGACAAATGAACAGAAACAGCAGGGGAGCAGCCCTATGAGGGATGGAGGAGGAGGAAGGAGCATGTAAAGAACAGGAAGAAAATCAGAAGGGGAGGACAGGAGTGCCGTAGGTAAGGTGTATAAGAAAATAAATATATATTTCACAAAAGAGACCTGGAGTAGAAAATGAATGAATTAAACACAAAACCAACCCAAATCTACAAGCAACTAGAGGGGGAAAAACAAACCTCTGACTCATAACTTCTTAACAGAACTATTGTCTGTGAATCTTATTCAAAGCCTGGGAAGGACACAGCTAACAAGAACTGAATCAATAAAATATACAAATAAGCACAGTGAAAACAAGTTTAGAAATGGCTTTGAAAATATGCTTAGTTTGTAGAAGTCTTCTCAGGGCAAAAGAGCTTCAGTAATTTCTTCCACTCTAGACAGCTCTTCTTCATCTCAGCTGCTTTTCTATGCTTGTTTCTGTCATTTTCTCTTTCTCTTCTGGAATGTCAGAAGGGTTAAGCATCAGATAAAACCTACAGCCCTGTTTTCTCCTTGTGGGAGGTGAAAGTGGAGGCTTTCAGAAGGCTTCCTTACTTCTAAGAATATGTAGCTTGGAAGTCCCATCCCTGGAGCAAACATCACACCTCTTTTTCTCTTCTGGAATGCTGACAGTGACAGGTAGATGCAGTATCCTACTATCAAGAGGTCTCATTTTATGGGGAGTAGAACAAGCCCAGAAGGATCTTATATTTCCTAATCTGGATTCCCAACCTTCCTAGGAGGGGTTATATCCTTCAGAGAGCAGTTTAGCCTTTCAGGGTCTGCAGATGAGGCTGACATCGTTGTGTTAGTTGTCCAAAGTCTGAAGTAAAATAAGTACAGGAAGAAGGCTGAGTGAAGTGAGTCCAGCGTAGCTGCCCAGTTCTTTCAGATAAGGCCCCAGACCAATCACATCCACACCAAGGTGTCTATAGTAGTGCTTGTCTGTGTCCCAAGACCCACAGTGGAGAAGCCAAACATCAGCACCCTGTCCTGTCTCTGTAACTTTGCATCTAAGCCCTTTCCATCAAAAAAACCAAGGCTTTCCTGCATGCTCAATAGCTAAGTTACTGCCCATGCCTTAGTCTGAGGCATGGAGACCTGTAAAATTAAAAAGAAGCATTTGGGAAAAGAGAAGTAAACTTCCAGAAGAAACAGAACCTGAAATCTTATTTTAGGCTGGTAAATTCTCTTCCAGTGACAGGCAAATCTTCTTGTCTTCTCTCTCATCACATTCAGTACATTCCACCTGTTTTCCCACAGAAGATCCCCATCAAAGCAATCAGCTTTCCTTCCTCTGTCCTTGACACACTTAACACACATACCTTTGCTTGAAGCTGAAGTGCCAGGAGTAATTACAATGATTTGTACTACCCAGTCACATTGCTGATGGAATTGTGAGGCTAGTGATATAAAATATGGAGTTAGAGCACAGACACTCTGTCACTAGCACCATTTTGGTGCACATTCATTCTCTCTTGTAGGCTTCATCATTAAGTGCATTCAAGCTGACAAGCCAGGAACTATTCTGTACATGTCAAGAGTCACAAGGAATCTGAGTCAAACTCTTCTGCCTCCTTTGCCAGTATCACCACAAGAGCTAAGAATTGGAAGGAGAAACCAGACAGAAAATTTGCATTCAGCTGGCCATGTCATCCTCAAAGCTGTAGAAAAGGGAGGATGATAGGACATCAAACAGACACAAGCACACTCAAGAACTAACAGTGACTTCTGCTGCTGAGATTCCTCATAACTCTAACTAGGCCTGAAATTCCTAAAAAAGGAGACATTAACATTTTACTTCACTACTTTTCTGATTGTCATTGAAATTTTAATGTCTAGCAAGCTGAGGTTCTTTATTCTCCAAACACTCCCATTACCTGCTCTTCTGTATCAGATGCAATGCTTACCTGGCTTTTCCCTCACAGCCAAACCGTTGTGACAGGACAGGCTCAGCCCTGCCCTCCCTGCAAATCATTCACTTTTGACTCAATACCAGCTCTCTCTGACAGCATCAAGTCTGTGCTCATTCCAGTTCCCATGATTGCTGCAGGCTCCTTGATTTGATTGTCCATCGCTAGAGACTGGCATTAAGCAGGGGAGTAAAACACAAACCCTTTCTCATGAATGAGCCATCATGCCCCAGGACAGATCTCTGACTGCTCCCTGTTATCCATCTGGCCAATGCTTGGATGAAATCGGAGATGAAAGAAAAAATTATCATACTCCAACTCTCACCACATCTCCAATTCTCTTTGTTGTTACACAGGAAAAAATGGTGAGAATCCCCTCTGCTGTCTCTTGCTTGCAGCATTTCACATGCTCTCTTTTCAATCCACTCCTTATTTCTTGTTTTGTTTTTACTATCTACTTTTATTACAGTTTTGTAGCATCTAGATGCCTGCTGTGATATGCTCTAGTTTTACTCCTGCCTTTTTCTCTGGGGAAGAGGGGGAGAGATAGATGAAAAGGTAAAATTAATTTGTTTCTCTGATAAGACAGTTAAGAAGCATGTTGGCCCCTCTGAGCATTTCAATAGCTTATCCCCTTTTCTAATGTTTCTGAGAGGGGAATGAAAACCAAATGTTCAAAACTGCCAGCACATCCACATCCTCTTTTGAAAACTGAAAACTGAGACTAATTATAATGGCTCACACAGTCCAATTATGTTGCTGATCTAATCAGCTTACATTAGGAGAAGCGCTGAATAAACCTGCACAACGGCTGGGACACTGAACCAATTTCTCCCTGGCCCAGCACATTTAAAGCTTGCTTATCAGCTGCATGGCATCTGGAAAAAAAACCCCAAAACAACAACAAAAACGAAAAAGACAAAAAAAGTATATCCCTCCAAAATCCCCAGTGGCTGCAAAAAGATTTTTTAATTTTACCCTCCTATTTCTCTACCCACATACAAAAGGAAGAAGCCTTTAATTTACAAAGGACTTGGGGTTTTGTTTATAGTTTGTTCCTGGTCTGGGCACACCCTTTTGCAATAAGGCAAACAGAGACACTCGGGTATCATTAGTTAGTGATTAAACACATCATGAGACAGAAAATTGGCACAGAAAGTAAGGCTGGTTTGTTCGTGTTGGTCTTACTGTTGGCTCTTTGTGCACACTCTGAGTGGCAGGACTCTGTAAACTGAGCTCAACACTTGGGGGGTCCTTCTTCAACTCTACCGGGGACTTGTCCCCTCGGGCTACTCCATCAAATTTCACAGATCTGGTTGGTGAAGGAGTAAATATTACTGTTGTACATTCTTTATCTTTTTCTTCCGTGCCGTTGACATTTTCTCCATTCATGCTGACTTTTCCATCTACCTGCAGAATACAGTTAAATAAATATGCTGAGACAAGTAGCATTCAAAGGAATTTAGGAAATTAGGAATTCAACATGATAGTACAATCATTAACACAGTCTGTGTTATCAGTGAGGGATGAAGCCAAGCACATATCTCATTCAACAGGCCAAAACAGAAGACCCTGTGACCCTAGAGGGCTCATAAACAAAATACAGGCACAAGGAAATAATTTTTCTGGATTTCCTGGTTTCCCACACTCCATTCACCCAGTAATATACAGACACCCTTTGTGGGCATCACAGATCAAAGGATGTTTAAAAAAAATCAATTTTTATGTTAAATTTAGACCAAAACTGCTGGGTTTTACATTGCCTTATGCAAGAGCTAAGCAGGTTCTCCAGGACTAATTATGCTGATGAACTGCTTATGTACCTCAGTGACCTCACCACAGTATTAGCAGTCTGTACTTTTTGAAGCACTGTCATGTGAACTTTGAAGGGACAGGAGCAGCAGAGTTCATCTACTTGTTCTTTATTGTTCATAACAGGGAATCAAGGCATCAGCAAATAAAACTGGTCATTCCACCCTCTCCATAAGGCAGTCAAATAGATAGGTGCTTTCCTAAAAAATTACTTTAGGAAATCTCCTTGAAAACAAGAATGTTGAAACAGTTTCACTACCTATTTCTCAGGGTCAAGCTAGCTCCTTGATGGCCATATATTCCTGCTAAGGAATCTTTAAGCAAAGAAGAAAATACAAAATATGCTTTGGCTTCTTCCTCCAAATTGATACAACTTCTTGGCACTTTCACACTGGAATTTCTGAATGGAGGTGGCATGTAAAGACTCCCTTCAATTTGAAGAGCACTTTGAAGAAGCATACAGGAGAAGTCTTGCTACAGAGAACTAGCTAGCCATTCACCTTAAGTGGGCCCAGGTGAGAGAGACCAGGAAAGGACCATGTCTCATACCACCACATTGCTGCTGTGCTCCTGCCTGCCCACAGCACAGATGTTTACAGGCTTGTCAGTAGGCATAAGGAGGAGTAAGGAGGGCTTTGCTACTCTGGGCACAGAGGTTCTTCCTTATTTATTGAGTGAACAGCTTGGATACCTCAAGAGTGGCACTTAGTATATATCATCAGAAGCAGGCTGAGGGCAAACTCCTTCCATTGACTTCTCGTACATGTGCATCCAGAGCTTGTTCTTTATAAGCATGATTAACTAAGAGGCCATATCTGAGCCATCCTTAGCTCTGCCAGATGTGCAGGAAGGTGGAGGCAGTTAGCCCTTGCACAATCAGCTCCACCACCTGTTTCACTCCTTCTGAGTGTTTTTCAGATGAAAATGTTCCCTCCCTTTCTACACTGACATCATCCACTTAACACAGTACCTCTCAGGGTTTATTTCCAAACACAAGTGTGAGCAGGAACTGAGCCCCAAGTCTTCTGGAACTGTGTGCTGGATTATCTGCTAGAGAGGCAGGTTATTAAAGATCTCAAAAATAAAAAGTCCAGGAAAACACTGGCAGGCTGCACCATCCATTTCAGTGTCTCTGTTTAGACTAAGACATTTCTCTATTTATATTAAGGAGGAAACATAAATGTTCAGATGAACAGGACAGATGCCCTGGCTGAAGAGTTAAACAAACATACTCCTTTCCTTCTGATCTGGAGGAAGTCAACACATTGTCACCAGAGCCAAGAATCATTGACAGACTGGTGTTTCAAGGGAAAATAATGCAACAACTACATGTGCTAGGGAATAATTCCTACTGAGACAAACCACATTTTTTCACATCATGTGAAAAAGATTCAAACATTTTTTGTGGTGGCTCATGGGGTGTAGGAGCCTTCATGAGTTAGTTTCTTCCCACATATATATGCAATATATTATATATGCAATAACATTATATATGCATTATATATGCATTACATATGAATTATATATGCAATAACATTATGATGATACACCTACATATCTTGGTCCTCTGATGAAAAAAGTGGCAAGGATCAGAAAAAACCTAAAGATCCATGATTCAGTGATATCTAAAAAGTAAACTTGGAGCATATCAACCAGGGTATAGGAGAAACAGGAATTATCAGTTTCTTGTTTCAACTAGGAAAAATGGTGGAGTGTGGTTTCCACAGGAGCTGGGACAGATTTCAATAAATTATACATCACAGCATACTTTTTCACTAGCTATAAAGAGCTGACTTATTTTTTAGAAAGTAAACAACCTGAATATACATGGTAGCAGTGCTACTGGGGTATCAGCAGGCCTTCAGGGACACTTGAATGCCACTTGCAAAGCATGAGCAATGGCAGACAGAAGGGAACGCAAAGTCCAGAGACCGGGGGCATCCATGCCACTAGGATTCATTCACGCTGTTCACAACATGACTACTATGAGACTTGGGTAAGCTCCAGTTTTGGTACAGGCACTATGAACAGCAGACGTTTTCAAACTTGACTTATTCTGGTCTGTTCTTTTTAATACATCCCAGTTCTTTGCTTTTTCTATCATTAGTTCAGTATCTTACTCTCATTCTCCAGAACCACCCGGTCAAAAGATACACACCTCAGATTTCATATTCTGGTTTTAGAATATTGTTTCCCATTCTTCTCCCACAAATCATAGCTGACTTATTCCCAGCAGCACTGCTTTCATCCAAGTTTTCTTACTTCTCTTACTCCCATAGTCTTCGCACGGTTCTTGCAATCCAACGGAGCCACTCTCCTTCTCTCACCATCAATTTCCAGCTACTCTGCTACCCCAGAACCAACCTGCTTCACTAAACCTCCATGCACAACCTAAACCTTCTCTTTATGCCTGTGAAGCAGATTTCCCCACTTATCCTTGGTGAGAAGCATGTTTAAGACAGAGCATATCTTCGGGAAAGCTGGCTCTTGGCTCTGAAGGAGTAGGCACACACTTGGTTGAGTATGCCAACAATCAGACCCCTGACACAAAAGTCAGTTCAGGTCTTGCTTCAAAAATCAGGGCCTCCACACTCTCTGCACCTTCCATTTTGTCAAAACCAAAAAACATGACCACATACTCTTTTCTAAAAACTTTCTGAGGAAACAGCTTGCTTTTTTCTTAAATTCCCCCTTTTTCCAATCAAATTTAGCCTGAGTTAAAATGATCAGTGCAAGTATTTCAGTGTGAAGAGGTCAAGATTTTAAGAATTCTGGTAAACATGAAGAAACCATTAAACTGGAAGCAGCACAGAGTATGAAGCTGAATTTTATAAAATCAGAAAGCTGCCACTATTTTCCATATAATTGCATTAAACATTTATATGTTCAGATGACTCAATCAAGATCTCATTGCCTCCTGGTTCACTTTGGGACATGTGATGTATCCTACCTTAAAGTTCTTTAAAACTTCCTGTGTATTTTTGGGTTGTGAATAAGGCTTGGGTGTCAGCATAGGCACAGCCTTGGAGATACTTTTGCTGGGAGATGTGCGTCCTGTTGAACTGCTGGGCTCTAGTTCAGTGGTGGGAACAATGGTTGCTTCAATTGTGGCAGTGAATTTTGGAGCAGGAAGTGATTGTTGCCTTAAATATCTCAGAGGATTTGGGTCTTTCAGTGGGGAATTTGGTTCCACTGAATGGCTTCTTTCTAGAATTTTTGGCATCTGCAAACGCTCAAGGACAGCTTCACTGATAGTGAATCTTTCAGTGTACTGCTGGAGAATGCTCTCAGCCTCCTCCTGTGTCTTTGCATTCTTGTATGCCTCATGAAGCTCCCGCTCCCTTCTCTCTCTGCAAGGAAGACAACACAAGAGAAACCATCACATTAACAATGGAAATCACAGCCATTTCCTCTGCTCCATCAACATCCTCCCTCTCCCTCACTCAGGCCTGCAGGCATGGCTGCCCACAGTTACCTATGACCTGTGGAGCACATAGCATTTTCAGACACGCCACTACACTCCACTAAAACAACATACTTCTCCTCCACGATTTCTCGGTAGGTTTTGATGCTTTTCCTGCGCTCATTCGTTCCATCTCCAGCCAATAACCTCTCCATCTTCTTTCTCTCAGCTTCCTTTTTAATCAAATCCTGTGAAGCACTCCTTCGACGACTCTTCCACCGAGCCAGGTCCTGTTAGGGAAGGAAGGTATCTGAATGCAGACTTGCAAATAACTAAAAAGTGGTCACAGGTAACATGAACCCAACCAGCTGGTTGCAATACTTATTCTTGCCTGTGGACTAGGCTCCCATCACCTGCAGGCAGCACTGTTCATTTCAATGACAAAAGGAGATCATAAATGAAGATGTTGTCTGAATTTCCTGCTGATAGTGGGACACAGTAAAGACTTCATAGCTTCACTGCTTACTTTGCTTTTGGCAGGAAATTTGGCCTAAAAGGACCAGTCAGGACACTCATTTTCACTTGGGCCAACACCAGGGACAAAATCCAATTCCCCAGGAAGATTAAGTAAAAAAATTATGTTTGGTGAAGAATTTTAATAATCAGACATATGGGAAGCAGGGGTTCATTAGAAGAATGTATGTTGTTTCACCATGAGCTACAGCTGCAACGACGTCCTTGGAGAGCTTATAGTTCCATACTTTGCCCATGCTATCAGTCAGCTACATGCAAATATGGCTGACCCATGATGTTGGGTTTTTTGATAGAAAAGTCCAGTGCAGCATCCAAATTTAAATTCTTCATCATAGCCACCCTGCACTATTTTGGATCCAGATGTGAGCAACAGAGATTGAGTGATGAGGCTCATATCTGGCTGGTGTGAGAGATGACAGAGCAAAAAGCCTATGGTTTGTATCCAGCTGTATAGAGATGTCCTTGTTGAAGTGACCATCTCAGTCTTTCTGCAATCTGCCTGCCTGAAATTGTGCAGAAAATTGACTGCTTCTGGTTCTCTGCCTTTTCTGAAAATCTAGCCTGATACTAAACCAGAGAGTCACAGGAGGTACCTGTTATGGGCCCCTGTGATGTCTTGAATCCTTTATGAATTCACAAATCCTGGAGGATACAGAAGCAAGATCTTTTTCACAGTACAAGTATTACAGCAAAGAAGTTTTCTAAACTGTAAAATTTCTTTTCAGACAACTAGCAAAGGAACAAAATTTTATATGTAAAAAGTAAGCACTGCAGAACTTCTGCAAAGAAAAATAACTTCCTAGGAAACTGGAAGGGAACACTTGTCATTAATCTATCCACATAAGGAGATTGGTGTACAGATTATATTTTGTGCACTCTAACAATTTTTGGTTTTAATAAAACCCAGATATTCATAACACATACTCAATTCAGGAGCTATTTCATTAATTACATGGTTTCCCAAAGATTTTAATTGCATTTTTATTGGTAAACAGCAGAAGGTACTGCAAGTATAACTTGTTTTATTAAAACCAGGAAAAAACATTGTCACTTCTAATTTAGCTTAAAACCACAAATTATTGATGTTGCACTTAAGGGAATGTTCATTAAAGTACTTCTTCACATGGCTTACATGTATCAGTCTATAATCCCCTTCATGAAACATAGGCCTATCATTTTCTTCAGTTACTAATTATTCTCATTGAAGTGCCAAAGCATTTCTTTATTCAGCTACTTCCACTGCTGTATATTGTTTGGAAATTAGTTTTTCATTAGCAAATTTTCTAGCATAAGCTTTCCTTCTCTTTTCATAATTAAAAACCAGACATGTTTGTATTTTCCAGTTCTGATGCTTTAGAATAACAATAATTTAAAAAACCCATGAAACTGTTAATTGTTAGCAAATTCATAGCATGGGCATCTAAAATATCAGAGCATGAGACATGTCACTATAAAACCCTCAGAATGCCAAGGACATTCCAATAAAGGCATTTTCAGTGCCTCTTCAAAACTTTTAGTTCATGGTAGAAGGTGCTGAGCACACCTAAAATGCAAGAACTTTAGCTCAGAGAATTTTCAATTCAACAGCAGAGTTCTCAAACTTCTTGAATGCCTCTGGAATTATTCTTATCTCTGCTGGGAAATTATGGCTTCCCATACATAAAGACCTTTCAGCTTAAGTCCTTCATTATTTTACTATAAAAAGTCACTTCTCAGCTGTATATACTTGTTTTTAACGTTTCCTTAAATTTTCTACCAAAAACCTCTCTGAGGTGTTTCACAGAAGCCTTCCTTGTAATGAGAAACTACCATACTTGAAGAGATGTGTTTTATTGTGTTTTGGGGTTTTTTAAAATTAAAATATATCCCAAATTCCTTATTTAAAATCAGTCTTTAGGAATGAGCAGAATTGAAACTTAAACCCCTTATACTAACTTACCTGCAGATCATGTTTTTCTGTCCTTGCTAATTTGCTGCAAACAATACCAAATACTTGGACAGCTTAACAAAACACATTAAGGAAAGAGGGTTTGGAAAGGCCTTGTAAACCAAGCAGGGTGTAGCTAACATGAAATGGTATTTGTTTGCTTGGACAAGATGGAAAACATTAACATTTTCTGTATCTATGCTAATTTATTAAAGAAAAGGCCAACCTATTTATTTCCCTGTCCTACTTAGTCTTGTGTTTTGTCACTTTGGACATTGACTAATTAGAAAAGTTAGAGGAGTCAGCAGTTAGAAGTTGTTCTTCCTTTTTTTTTTACCTAATCACAGCTTCTTTACATTTTTTTTAAAAGCAAAATACCTGGTGAACAGGCAGAGGGACTGGAAGATCTTGTATTCTTTGATTTACAACAAATTATGAACTTCTGTGGTTTTAGCAACAATTCACTGAGAAAACAAAAAAGCTCTCATTATTTTAAGCACTTGACAGCAAGTGCAGATTTAGCAGGTTGTCCTGTTTTTGCCTAACTGGCTGGCCTCAGTGCCTGCCAGCACTGCAGACAATGTTGACTGTTGTATACTCACATCTTGCCACCTGGTCTCGTCCTCTTTCAGCTGGTTGTGTATATTCTGCAGCTTCTCATGGCGAGCTTTGCTGTGAGGCTGAGACACAGCATCTTCTTCACATCTCATGTCAAACATACTCATGCTCCTAAACAAGGGAAAAATAACAACAGGCCCAGTCTTATTTAGAGGCTTATACTCCTTCAGCTTGTAAGAGCTGAAGCCACATGAGGGTGCTACAGCAGAATCAGACACCTGCTCTGTTACAAAGCTCCCAAAAGCAGCAGTCCCCAAGTGGGGCTTGTTAGCATCCCTATGGCTCCCACACAGTACTTCAGGCATTACATTCCTCAACTTTCCATTTTGTTAGTCAACCACAACTTTATATCTCACTAAGAAACACTACTGACTTTATATTTCCATCAATAGCTCTTACTAAAATCATTCTATCATTCAGAACATTTTGCTTTCTGAAGATTTGTGCCCAATGGGTTTGCAAGATCACTTTGATTAACACCACAGACAGAATTTTACATTTCAGGGTAAAAGGAGGCTTGAGAAGTACATCAGGTGCAGCATAGCCAGCTAAATGCTATTGCTACAAATTCAGAGAAGTACACTCAGTTCAAACTGCATGGTACTTTCTTCTCTCCCCTTTCCTCCCCCTCTCTGCCTTGAAGAAATCCAATGCTACCAGCACCAACTTATTAATACAGCTAACCTAACAAGGAAAATATGACATCCAGGACAAAAAAAATCGGTTTTTTACTATTTATGTCTCTGACCTTTGGAGAGTTAAAGGAAAAAAAAGGTTACGATTTGACATTATACATCTCTTTATATTATATAAAGATTTTCACACAAAGATAACATGCTTACTACTCCACCTCTACTACCTATTATTAGTAAAACATGACCTCAGTTGTGCCATTCAAAGCAAAAAAAAACTTAAAAGAAAGCCATGCAGTTCCACATGAAGTGATTTCACAGCAGTCCTCAAATGATTACCTGCAGCTTTACATGAGCCAATGAGCCAACTAGCAGGAGAAGCACCCAATGCAGATAAAATTGTGGGCAACTGTGCCCACAGTATTCAAAGTGAATACTCACGGAAAGCTGTGCATATATTTATGAGCCAGCATTTGTATTCAGGCAAGCAAAGACGAGAATGCCACTCTCAAGAAAACACTTGAAAGGTCTGGACAGTGTACGGAAAAGGACATGCACAGATTCCATCCTGCTAAGTAGGTATTTACTCAGAAATGAAGGACAGAATAAACATCCTATTGCCTTTAAGCATGAACAGTGAAGTTAACATATCACTGTGCTTCACCCCTTAAACAGAGTGCTGATGGTTACACTAATTTGGGTCGTTTACACTAATTGTGGGTAGTTTAACAGTTGCATTGTCCAGGATTGGATTGGAACACTCCTAAATAACAAAACCTAAAGAGATGGCAAATGTTGTTTTTTAAAACTTAAACATCAGTCATATTTGGCAGACTGGTGAGGTAGGTTGGGAGATGCAGAACTTGCAATAAAGTCACTCTTATAGGGTTTATTCCAGTTTAAGAGCTTTTGAAACTCACACTAAGAATGCCTTTAGTGTTCAGTATTTGATACCTTGTGCCTACTGGGTCAAACTGGTTGTGTAGCTCTTCTCTTGTACTCTTTCCTCATGTCAAACAATTTTTCATTCACATGCAGTAAGAAAAAAGGTAAGATTTGAAATGGTGGTTACCAGTCCTAGTAGAGTGCATGAGTACACACTCTCTACCATTTGGGATGGAAGAATTTTGTTTTTCTAGCAGGAATACCTGGATTTCCTAATTTAAGTCTAATGCATGTTCCCTGATTTCATGAAGGTCTCACAGGGTGCACAAAGACAGCAACAGGTTTTATAACTATTAACAATGCAGTAAAAAAAGTTCTCTGGAAAAGGCTTTAGCCTTGGCCAGGAGTCAAACTATACACTACAACCCCAGAGGCACCTCCCACTCCAGCAGTCACCTCCTACTGCTGGGCCTTCATGTAATGGACAAGCAACTGGGTGGGTTCAAACTTCAACTCTGCAGCAACATGTTCTTCCACAACAGTATCTTCCCAAGACAGCAGTCTGAAGGAGTCCCACCTCAAAGCACTGTGCTCCACTCTGACCAACATGTAGTAATCACTAAGAGGAAAAACCTCCTTTCCTGAGTATGTGGACAAGGCCAACTGAAAGGTCTACACCAACTTCTCTCTCTGACAATTTCATCCTTAGAAAAGGATCTAAGAGGCCAAAACTCTGAGCTTCTATCCAAAGACACTTTTCATTATGAGTCCCACGTAATTGCATCCTATTTCTATCTTGTACAATCTACAAATGACTCCAGACAATCACTAACACTCTCACGAACAGGACTAGATTTACTCCTCCCTTCAACCACATGTTGGGCTGGCAGGCACACAGCACACAAGTGGACAGGGAACTGGACCAAATTTAAGTTCATTGACTTTCTGCCATTAGCACAGCTCCAGAGATAATATACAAACTCTGTCCTGAAGCAAGAGGCCTTTCTGCTGACCAGTGTACCAGACCTGCCATTCTAACAATGATCTGGGAAAAAGCACTGTGCAGACTAACAGTGTATTTCAGATGTTGGGATTTTCAAGCTACACTGCTTTACACTGCTTTATTATCACAAATTACAGTTGTTCCTGTCAGTGATATAATGCAAAAATTTCTTTTTTTTAACAAGTCTAAATAAAATTTGAATTAAAAAAAATCTGAAGTACTTTAATGTTTAGATTAATTAATTTAAAAGTGAGAGATAAGGTAAAAGAACTTCTTATGAGAATATGTTAACAATCCTTATGTAAGGCATTTATTATGTGGCTGCATTACCATTTTACAGTCATACTAAGACTTCAGAAACTCCAAAAAAACATAAAAAGGGACAGACTGGCTCAAAATCAGACTAGTAAAGAAATACTCAAAAATATCGGCTCACTATGAGCCTAAACTCGTGTTGGACTACCACGGTACCACCAGAATTTTCTCTCTTCAGGAGATGGGAATGGGCCTGGTCAGCATCAACACACTAAGTATTGCCTTTTCTGGACCCTCAGACAGACCAAGGCTGAAGACAATATCTAATTTTCCTCTAACTAGCAAAGTTGACAGTCTAATAAAAGAGTCCTCAGTTTTGCTGCTGGAACAAAGAGCATCTAGTCTAAGACTGAATTCAAGTTACAGTTTTCAATGGGGACTTCACAAACATTTAAAAAGTATTTTAAATGTCAGTTCAATTTATTTTTCCTACTTGAGAGCCAAGTTTTATTAGAGTCTTCATAAATACTTTGTCTTCAGAAGGGAAAACAGTCTAACTTTTACAAAAACTTAAAAGACAGTATAGGAAAATAGTTGCTCTGTAAACTGTAGCACATTTGAAAAGGATGACAATGAGTCTTGAATATTAATTGTTTTACCTTTTAAATCAAAATAATAATCAGTATGGAATAAGCAATATAATTTACTGATCTTTGCTACTCTCACGTTATACCACCAAGACCATTGCAACGCCTCTTTGAAGGCATCTCCATGTACCTTCTCTCATGATTGCATTTAATACAGACATACAGATAAAAAAAATCAATCATATAAGCAGGCTTTCTGAAATAGCTGGAATGTCCCCATTGTTAAGTATAACACTTCTATGTTACTTCTATACTACTCCTTATCTCACCCCTTCATTCGACTGGACAGATTCCTGCCACTTGAAAATGATCATGCTTACTCTGTAGTCAGAAAACAGAGGTTTTGCTCAGCATAAAGTTATTTAATAACTTGTAAAGAACACTTAGTCCATGATTCTAAGCTTTATCATTAGAAGAAAGAGTGAAAAATTGCATGAGTCTCTGTGTATACTCATTATAAAAGCCCCACAACTCTACAAAAGGTTTATGTTTTGGGATTTAATCTGGGACACAGACAAGGTCATATGCATTTCTGTGAATAGAAGGACATTAAGGATATTACTGTGTGTGTAGTTCCCAACTATTTCTCTTCTAAATAGCTAATACTTCCAAAGAGCTTTCCAAATGAATTGCATACTATTCCGTACTAAAGTTTGGATGCATACATAAATAATTAAAATTTTTGAGTGTAATAAATGTCAGTTCTACTCCTTCTATGAAAAGTGATGCATCGAAGGGAAGAGCTTAAAAATTGAAATTTAGTACATTATTAAATTAAACCTAACTTGGAAGGGATTGAATATAAAGTTTTAAAATAGAATAAAGGCTCAGCTAAAGATGTATCTTCCTGGTAATTATTCTGAAGATTACAATGATACTATTTTGCTTTGGGCTTTCTTTATTTCTTCCTGTTATTCCTCATACTTCATTTTTTTCTTCAACACCCAGATTCAATCCAACTCCTTTACCTGTAGCTGATTAGAGGCAATGGAAATTCAGAAGAAATCCAAGACAAAATAAAAGAGGAAACAATACTTTAAGCAACAGCTGGACATTAGTGTTACGCTTAGTTTTTAAGGGCTTTTATATAGAAATTATTTTTAACTGCAATGTAAGCCATATCACATTCCATTTTTCAGTGCTGTCTGAAAAATTTATATGCCAAAACACTGCAAAATAATAATGATGCATCAACTGCATTTTAAATTAGTAGAAAGATGGGAAAGCATGCAGTGTAAGTTGTTTAAAACAGACTCTTGTGAACACAAGACAACTTACTCTGCGTCATCAGACACAGCAGATCTGGGGCCGAATCTACAAGACCAAATATAAAATTAGATTGTGGATAAATACATTGAGTAGTAATTGCAAGTGGACCCATATAATTTGCACAACTGTCACTTCTACTAGTAAAGCTGACCAAAATAGAACCATACTGTTCAGGGATTATGTATTCATCCAACAAGACTTACCTGATCATCCTGAGGTCAAACTACATGAGAACACCACCCATCCCTCCTTAAACACATACTTATGCCCCACATTATAAAAATCTGCTGAAGTATACCTAAAATGTGTATAGAAAATAGTTATTGAAAATAGACTATGTCTTAGCATTTACATTGTGCCATACATGCAATGACTGGAGACAAAATGTAACAGTTACATTCCACAGCAGTGCTTAGTACCACTATTACTGAAACATGAAAAAGACAAATACTATAGTCAGAAAGTGAGTCACAGGATTTCCATTTTCTTTTTGTAGGTCTTGTTTTTGTGTTTGGGGATTTCTCTGGTGTTTTTGTTTGTCTATTTGGTTCTTAGTTTTTTTTGTTTATGGTTTTCCTTTTGTTCATTTGTTTTGTTGTTGTTTTTGTTTGGGTGAGGGTTTTTGGGTTTTTTATGGTTACTTGATTGGCTTGGAGTTTTTTATTGTTTTGTTTGCTTTTTGGTTGTTTTTTTTTGTTAGTTGGTTTTGGTTGTCTTTCCTCAGAGTGGGGGAATATAGCTGAAAAAAGTTACTGGTAATACACAAACCAGCAGCATTCAGTAAAACTGTAGTCTTCTTTAGAGCAATGCAAACCACATATATATATGGGATTTATCATAAAAGAGCATCATGTGCAAAAGTCAATACTACAACATTAACCATGGGAGAAATAGAATAAACATCTCTCAATGAGCAGAGTCCATTTCAGCATCTCCTCTTCATAAACTTTTCTCACAATTCAACATATATACTGTAATCAAACATTCTTTTCACTTAGCTTTCAATTAAAAATTTTTTAGAAATCAAAATAAAATGCATTACACTAGTATTATTTTTTTTTCTAAAGTGTGTGTTACTGACATACAGTGTTGCAGTCTGGATTGAAAACACACCAGGCAATGCACAATCTGAACTCTGAAGTGTGCACACAGGGGTTTACAAGCTGCGTGATTCACACCAGAAAGCTCACGTTTGCAGATGCTCATCCTTGGATGAAAGTGCTTCCATTTTGTTTTCCTCAGGAACCTCCTGAAGCTTAGATGTTTGAACAAGGTGGACTTCATTGTTGCCATCTTCAGCCACTTGGGCAGTACTAATAATCTCATCTTGTCCTGTTGGTGGGAGACTGTGCTCCTGCCCTTGCTGCTGTTCTTGCAGTGGTTCTATTGCAGGTTTTCCAGAGCTATTAGTGTAGACTTGTGGACATTTTTGAGGCCTGAGTGAGCCAAAGGCAGTAGTGTAAAGGGAGGTATTAAGCAACATTTCAAAAAGCACACATACATAACAAAAAGCATGACTGTAAGCTAGCAAACAACCAGCCCCTACAAACCCAAATAGCTGACACAGGACAAGCTAAGTGAGGCAGGAGCAAACCCCGTAATTTTAAGAGTCAAATGCTTGTACCATTCTTTTAAATTAGAAAATAAACTGTCCAGAACACCACTGAAAATTAAACACCAAGCCACTGTTGAATTCTATGGTAGATGACAGGTTTGTTTTCTCCTGGCTGAGATGAAAGCTAGTATTTCATCCATGTCTGTACAGGTGCCTATCCTTCTCCTCAAGTACTCTGAAGAGGCTGATGAGTAAGAACCGGTCCACTCTTGCTTGCATGTGGCTCAACCACCAAATGATAACTCTGTTCCAAAGCTTCAACACTCACACAGCCTCAAACATCTGAACAGAGGTGCTCAGAAAGACACTGAGCATTATCAGGAAGAATCTCAGGATCTCTACTTTTCCTGTTAGGAAGTCACTGGCACCAGTTAAGCCACAATCATCTAACCTACTAGGTCCAGCATCTCCATTTCTAGCTGGAAATATTTGTAATGATTACCTCATATTTAACCAGAAACCTCTACAAATGTAATGCAAATGTAATTGCTACACAGATCTGTTTCCACATGTTAGAATTTTGCATCTGGTAGAGCTCCGGTCTGAGTCTCCACATGAGTTTTCTAAAAGGGTCAGAAACCTTCAACTGCCTTCTACTGAGCAGAAAGAATTAGCAGAGAACTGAGGACAAGCATGAAAATAACCACTACTGGGCCACCAGCAAATCTTCCTGATAAAGAGATCTTAACAAACAGCCCATGGGTCTAGCTAAAAAGGACAGAGAAAAACACAACTTTCTTACCTCGTGGCTTTCTTCTCAAGTTCTGTGGCTGTGCCCTGCTTATTCTGCTGCTTTGAAAAGGGCATGGGAAGGAACTGCTTAACATTGGGCCCAGGCTGTTTAAGAAAAGCTCCAGTTCTTCTGGCTAACATGTCATCTCTTTGAGGGTCTGGAAATTTCATTTTGTTTTCTGTTTCACCACTCTGCAGCTGAGGGATTTCAAGCTGTTCTTGGCTCTCTTCTTGTGTGACAGTACTGCTCAGAGAGACAAGTGACACTGTTCCATGATCATGCTCACTTGTACAGCAAGTGGCTGCTCAGGCAATGTGAGGTACTGTTACTCAAAACAAAGCTGAGAATGATGGACAACTAGACAAACCAGGCATCTTTAGCCACAGCACAAGGAGTAAGAGGAAATTACGTTGAACCCCACACTTATGTAGGTGATTTGTTAGAAGTGGGAATTGCATACAAATCTATGCAATGACTTATTCACTTGGGAGCTGGCATAAAAATCCAGACAATGCACTATGGTTTGTGAAAGAAATCCCCCCAAAAGATAAAAGACTATTTTCATGCTGAACAGCAATTAACGACTGAAGTACTTAAATATTATGAAAGAAACAGGCTGTTTTATATTCATAGGATACATTCTTGTGAGTGATTTTGCAAAACAAAACACATGCCATGATGATTGAGTAAAACACATCTTTAAAGCCCAGGTGAAGAATGGGACAACACTGCTGACTGATCCAAGCTAACACCACACACAAACCAGGCTCAGAGGGATCTGCTTCTGTTCTCTGACCTTTCTCCTTCCTGCAGAGTCTTCAAATCCTTTTCACGAGCTACAGCCTCCTCTTGCTGCTGCGGCAGCAGATAAGGAGCTACTGACAAGGGAGGACAATTTACGGGAATGGAGCTTGTGGTTCGCCTTGGAAAAGTTCCCATTCTTCTAACCAACATATCATCTCTCTCTATATCTGGTAAATTCCTGTCACATTCTTCCTTGGCACTTTCTTGCCGTTTGCTCAAACTCCGTGGGGTTTGTTCCTCAGAGATGACATCAGAAGCTGGTACAGGTGATGGAATTCTCCTGCAAGAGTCATCTGTACCTGACTTGACTCCTCCCTCACTAGTGATGAGAATGAGAGGAGGGGTGAGACAGACAAAACGTTCTCAGGTCAAATGAAAGGTAAGAAAAGGAGTCATCTAACTCAGTTTGCAAATTTTTTATATACACACAAACCTAGCTGAATGAATTGCTTGCTAAAAGCATTCATTAAGTTCTTGCTGCAGCCACAGACTGATTATGCCAAAAGAAATATAAGATCTGTTAATGCGTAAACAACCCAGATAATTCTTCTCCAGATAAATGCCAGAAACAGAGAGCAGCAGTACACCATCTTCAAAAAGAAAGTAAATCCATTAGGTTTGAAAAAAAACATTTTTTTGAAGATAAGTAAGGCCAGCAAGCTGAATGACAAATTCCTAATATGCTGAAAGCAGGCAGAGCAAAGCTACTGGAATTGAAGCAGCAGAAAAATCATGAATGATAGCTCATCCTCTGAGATACCAGTGACTTCACTGCCCATCAGAAATTTTGAGCAAGCGTTCAGAAGACCTATGCACAGCGTTTTGTGCAAGCCTAAATGTGTTAAGATACTCTGAAGACATCAGATGTCTTCTGAACAAGGTCGTGCGCATAAACAGCTCTTGGGTTTATGTTGCAGTTCACTCCCATGCAGATCAGTATCTGGCAAGAACAGGTCTCATTTACAGCTCAGTAGCACTTCCTAAACCACACCAAATACCTGGACTCATTTTCAGGCTCAGATACTTCACTGCTGCATTCAGCAAACCCAAGACTGACAGCAGTGGTTGAAGGAGAGCTTTCAACACCAGAGAAACTTTCCACACCATCTTGCTTGCTTTCCTCTTCTGTTCCACTCTTGGATGAAGCTCTGCCAATAACGAGCTTGTCCCACTTCTGTTGATCAATCTCAGTTACTGGCCCAAAATGCACAAACTTCTGCTTGGGGCTACCAGCCTTTCTGTTTGCTCTGGTTTTGCGGACAGCAAAATCATCATGGGCTACCACTTTCACCGTGGTATCACTTGGAGGCAGAGTGTTGTTGGAACATCTGAAATCTTCTTCACTGGTCATAACGAGGAATAAAAGAATGCCCTCAACATGAAACCCTCAGAATAAAACAAATTAAATGCTCCTAAGGTTTTGAAGGGGTTTTATTTTAAAATTCGAGGACACAGGTATAAACAACTGTGGCGTACTGAGTCTCAAATGACATATGAAATGCAAAGATATCACAGACATGAGGGGAAAACATGGAAGCACTTGCTAAGGGCAAGGAATGTAGTATAAGGCCTGTTCCAAATTCAGTTCTTCACCTAACAAAGCCACAGTTTCCTTATCTGCTCACGTATACCCAGGCCACACACTATATGTGACTGTATGGCACTAGAATGCACTTTAGCACAAGGGAGTTACAGTGGCATGGGAGCACCAGCAAGAGCAATTCACTTACCCTAAACCAAGCAGACTGAATCCTAATAAATCACCTCAAAAGTAACAGAGAGATTGCTAATACCTTCAGGACGAAAGATTAATTGAGTTTTGATTTATTAGAGCTAAAATCACATACAATAACCACATTGTTAGAAGAATGCCAGAACAGACAGCCATCTTTAATTGCAAAAGGGCATGCACCTAAACAGGAAAGCCAGGAGTTGTTATCCTTTCCTATTGGAGTCACAAATCACCTGCCTATGTTATAGTCCATCTCCACAGGGAAACAGGTTAGAATAACTGCTTCATACTGGCTCCCTTTGTAGAGATTTTGTTAACAACAAGAGCATACAAACACCATACAGTGAGGCTCCTGAAAGCCATGCTGCAATGAGAAACAGTGGTGGTGTACAGCACTGGAGTACAATTGTTGTGCTGATGTATCAGCTCAGGTCTCAAAATAGCACAGAGACATTAATGCAAAGATGCTGATCCTCAGGTAATAATCCCAAGGTATAAAACACCCGAGTCCTGAAGACAGGGTGTAAGGAGCAAAGTAGTTGCTAGCATATTAGCGGTACCACTCGGAACTTTGTCCTGTTCAACTTCAAGCAGCTTCGAAGCAAATTCAGCCACATGACAAGAGGGACCTTTCTGATATTGTATTAAGAGTATCTACAAGAAAAGTGACTGTGAAACTACTATAGTGTTCTAAATGATGGACACACTTTCTTTTCATGACAGACAGCATGTACAGATTTTTGGACTCCTGAAAACAGAAACAGATAAGGACTTGTTGTCAACAAGGCATTCTTCAAGTTAAAAGTCACAAGCACACGCAGCATATTGTGGCAAACTAAACATGCTTCCCAGGGTGCCAATCCTGTCCACAAGCAGAAACCATACCTGGGCTCCCCTGACAGTTTCAATCTTTTCCAGGTCTCCAGATCTGCTTTTGTTATAGAGGCATTGACAAAAAGCACATCTTCTTGTAGCTGAGGAAGGATGCTTTGAGATTTCCGTTTTGCCAAATCATCTCTCTCATTATCAAGCTCCTTCACCTGCTGTTCCTCCTCTGACTCAGTCTTCTCATTTTGCAGAAGTGGGCTCTCTTTGCTTGTAACTGTTTGCCTTACTGATGTCATGTGCACCCGTCTTCTTCTAATTTAATGCACATTCCAGTTCAGCAATGAAAGATATTTTGAGGAAGCAATTATAAATCAGTGTCAAAAGAAGAGGCTCAGAGCTCAAGAAGATAAAACTGAATTTATAATATTACTTTCACATTAATTTTAGGAAGCAAACATGGAATGAATCATTTGAAGTTCAAACCTCTCAGCTATGCTACCCCATACCCCATTCATGCACTACTGAGACCATTTCTTCATGTGAACTTCTATTCCCAGCTCAAGTAAGAAAAATCTTTGTTATTACTGAATTAAGCATTTCTGCAATAAGCTTTCTCTTAAATAGTTACAAATATCTCATCTGAATATTATTCACACAGCGAATTCAGGTTTCGCTCTCTAACATACTACACAATTTCTTTGATCTTAAGAAACATGTCAATAGCATTGGACTATTAAAATTTTGCTCCTCAGACGTCCTGTCAAACTAGTCATTAGAAAATGTTAATAAAATCAAATGATCAGCAACTGAATGGCACATTTGACATTTGAAAATTGAAAAGAGCTCTTAAATATTAGAAGAAGTTTTCTGAATATATCAGTTATTACAGTTAAGGTTCCCTGTAATGTGTATATAATGGTTTTATCTAAAATCACATCTGTTTGCTCAAATAAAACAGTTTCCTGGAAAAGATCTCTACCTAGCAAATATTTGTGTTCAGCAATTTCTTAAAGGTCTGTATCACTGAGCTGAAGAAAAAAGATATTTTCTAGGTTGAAGCCTTGTAACCCCTGATCCACTTCCCAAACCAGTGCTGCATAACACACATTAGGACCAGGTGCAACATAATTCAGGGCAGTGTAGCAGGCATATATATTCAGTTCCTTCACTAAAGACTCATCTGGTCTGTGTTTCATGCAGGGTGTTAAAAGAGCATGAGATGAAAGAAATGGATTGAAAAACGGGCACTGAAAGTGATCAGAAAAAGAGCTGAGATGCAAAACATATTTTCTAAGTTTATTCTCCACTACTCACGCTCATGACCTGTCTCATGAGTTTAGATAACAAAAGTGTCCTGCCTTTATCTTATTTACACTCACAGCCAATTAACACTTCTTGTACTGCAACAAAAAATAGTTTGGTTCACTTTATGATAAAGCATTTGCATTTACTTTAACGTGTAAGTTATTTTTCATAGCCAAGACAGCTTTAGGCCTATACAGCAATATATCATGGTGAAATTAAGCATTATGATTGAAAGAATAAGACTATGAATGCACACCTTGCATGTTCCTTTTTTTCCATCTGCAATGGCTTTTTAACATCTTCTGGTTTACCTTTGTCTTTACTTGTATAGGGTCCAACTAAAAAGGAGTTAAATGGAACTGTGTGCTTGGGTTGATTCATTCTGGCTCTCCGGGTAGCAAAGTCATCCTTTTCTAAATCAGGAATTCTGCTGGCTGCTTCATCTTCTGAACCAGAATCCTTTCCTTGGTAATGTGTCATGAAGGGGTTGTCCTTGCGAAGGATGATGTCTGGGGTGCTTCCACTGTCTTCACATATTGGCTTTTTACTGACACAGAGCAAAATTAAATAAAGCTCTTGATGCACCAGGGGAGGAGAGGGCAGTGCAACACTCATCTCCAGCTCAAAAAACAAGCACAGGCAATCAATTATGCTCCGAGCTGCTGTTAGAGTGCACAAAGCCTAGCTAGAAATAAAATTTATCATATAAAGTAGCAAAACCACAAAGACTTTATATAGAAAAGTCAGCACGTTGGACCTTTTTAGCTATAGCTGGAAGAACCAGTAAGAACAAATTTTAGCATATGAGATGCAGTGAATGTAGTACCATAACTGGCAGTATTAAACTTCTTGAGCATTTCAAACAAAGGAAGAAATGTGATGCAAATATATGATCCCCGGCAAATGTTGTTGAGTCTTGAAATAGCAAATATTTGGCATTTTTCTTAAAAGGTCTAAAAAAAAAAACCCCCACAAAAAAAAACCCCAACCCCAAAAACCCATCTAAGTAATCACAGAGTCTGTCTATCCTAGTATTCTTAACTGCTTTCTTCTCACATGCACCATGATTGATTCTTTTCTAATTAACCTTTCCTTTCCCACAGAATAAGCCCTCTATGCCAATCCCTCTATGCCTCTGTGCCAGCTGACATCCAGTAGCTGCAATGATAGCACACCAGTGATATTGGCATGCCAGAAAATATTGCCACCTGCCTTCATCAGAAACACAACTGCTATCAACACAGCCTTGCTGTTACTGAAGATTATGACAGTAAAGACACTTGACAGCTGGTACCCATAAAGATTAAGCTTATTTTAACTTGTAAGGGTCAATACTCTTAGGCAAACTGAAAAGACAGATGGCAGGAGCTAGGCAACTCTCACATTTAAAAATCAAATGGTTCATATTGATATGGGCAGCAAGGACTGTTACATGCAGTACTTTTGTAGGCATTTGCTCTGTCATGCAGCACACCTTGCTATGCAAAGCAAAATAGAGGAGACCACAAAGGATTAAACAGACTGGCATTAAGAAAGTGAATCTAAATAGCTCAGGGGTTGCTCTGAGTTTCTCTACTATTTTAAATTTAAAGATTGCTTTTTAAAAGCATTTAAAACATTTTAAATCTCTGCAAGCCCACTACATACACCACTTATTTTACATTCTCAACTGCCCTTACAAAGTTACTGCTCCACAAAGTTGCTGGAGAAAATTATGGGGAAGCCATAAACCATGCCTGGCAGGCCAGCCTGGCTCAGGCTCAAAGGACATATGAAACTGTCTGCCTTTGCCTTCTCATACTGCAAAATACAGGATCCCCTGTTAGTGATGTGGAGAGTACAGTCTCAAGTTAGCTAAAGGCAAATTTTTCCTTAGATCTCTCTGAAGGATCAAAATTTCATGTAAGGCAACAGAACAATACTGGCCAATAGCATTCCAAATGGGAACTGCTGTCCCTTTTCCTCATGAATATTTGTGTTCACAACAGCTTCAGAAACAGCTGGCTCACCAAGTGATTATTTAGTAAAAACTGATGGATTTTTCAGTCTCATGTCCACCAACAGCAGTGAAGCTTGAAAGCATCAAATGTACCATTTCTGAGAGGAATGGTTTTGGCAACAAAGAAATACTGAGTTATAGTACTCAAAAGTGCAACTATGAGTCATTGCAATAAGAAACTCATGGCTTTTAGTATGTAACTAGACTTTAGTAATCACTTTCTAGGTTGAGAAAATTTTCCATTCATTTACTATTTTTTTCATGGAATCAAAGATTATTTGTGACATTTTGGGGTCTCCTGACACAGTTTATCATGATCTCAGAAGTGTTTTTTCTAGGTCAGTTTACCATAGTATAGATAGCAAATACTAAATAGTAGATTTAGCTGCAAATTGCTCTTGCACACCCAGCCCCAGCTGTTGCAGAAACAGTAAATGGGTCAGTGCTGGTACAGCAGGTGCTTCCAAAGTGACTTGCAGGCATTTGCACTCCCTGAAGCAAGGTCTCATACAGGCCTGTGGATCCTTATATTGCATTTCAGAACAATGGAAGGATTTTGGATCCCTATGCTCTGTCAAGGCAAGAGTCTGTGTTATTTTTCAACGAACATTTCATAAAAGCTTGCTCACATTTCTCTTAAATTCTCCTCTCCATCATGTCTTTAAAAACACTTAATTATTTTCTTTTTAGGATGTCTCCATGAATGGGATCCCTACCTTTCATATACAATACAGTAATTAAGAGACAGATGTGCAGGCAATAAGCAAGCAAAGAGGAACACATATCAATAAAACAACATGCATCAGAGACAATTTACTTTTTTGGGAAAGGGAATTACTTTTTGGCATGCATTTGTATAGCATCTAATTCAGCTAACTAAAGCAGCTCTTTCCTAGAACATGTCACAGCAATAGAGATAAGCACTTACACTTCAAGCAAAAAATACATTTGCATACAAGTTCAAATCTTTCCTGTTCAGGACTCAGAAAAGTCCCCTACTGAGTTTAAGCTTTAGGAACAATTAGAGGCCTTGTAGAACTCAAAAGTCACAGTGGGTGTCCTCCAGAGGCCATTAAGTTGAGAGGAAACAACTCAAAGGAACTAAAATAAAACTGACAACCTCAGGTGAAAAAACAGAAGAGAGGCTGGTATCAGAGAAAGATGAGGGAGTAAGAAGGGTGAAAGTAAAAAATCAGAATACATAAACAAGAAGGACGGAGAATTGCTGAATGCTGTTAGTGCATGGAAAATTGAACTTGATGCCAAGAAGAGAGATAAAATGGAGATGTTCAGAGAAGAATAATAAGACATTAAGAAATATGGTTAAATGTATCCTAAAGCATCACTACTAAATTCTTCCCTTCTCCTCACGCACTATTCTTCCACTTTCACATACAAAGAATTTTCCTTACAGACTTCTGTCCCCTGTGCCTTTTCTGCTGTTTCTTCCTACAATCCCCAGAAGCAGGCTCCTACTTTGCTCCAGTGATGCTTGGGTTACAAAGTTCTGCTCTTTGACCCTTAGCTGGAACAGAAAACTCATCTCCTCCTTCTTCCAGCTGCCAAATTCCACAAGTCGTTTCCACTGAGAGCGAGTAAGAAAAATTACTTGTTATTTCTCCTCCCTTCTCCATAAGGGCTGTAAGGACAACAGATTATCCAAGGAAAGAACCACACATTTTTTCACACATCCTTCCTTTGTGGACATCAAAACAGTAGATCAAGTACAGAGTTGAAAAAGGTCTCTCAACATGGTGAGCATCCTCCAAATGAACAAATAGCAAACAGAGCTATTTGTTATGCACTGCACTGCTAAACACAAGCAATGACTACATTTTACTACATATTACTACATTACCACCATTAATACTACAGCCTTGGACTCAGAATAGAATTATGCTAATACCCCTCTGGTTAAGGGACTCCCAGTTGACTAGCACACTAAGTGAGGCTGAAGAACTAATTTATGCCAGACAGCTCCTCATCATTGGTACTGGGCTTTGTCAAAAGTAACAGCCCACAACCAAAATAAACACTGGTTCAGCACAGCTTGACAACAGTGAAGCAGACCTGAGAAGAGGACATGTGACAGCATATATTCTGTGACTGTTTTACCTGCATATGGCACATCTGCATGTGGCTGCACACCAGCTTCACTGCACCTACGAATGAACTGTACCACACATGAGCTGCATTTCTTCCTACTACATTTCAAAGCCCAGACTGTAGACCAGCAACTGATAAACTACTCACTGTTAGGATTTCACCCCACAATCCAAAACAAAATGGTTTGGACAGGAGGACATTTGGACACCTACCCTTTAGCCAAACCATTTTGATTGTTTCTAAGTGTCTGATCTTCTAACATGTCAGTTAAAACTCTACTTTGCAGGTCATCCCCATGAGTAGAAGAGATTGAAATGATGGAAAGGTATGGGCTGCGAACCTAGCCATCATTCAGCTCTCAAGTTAAATAACAGGAAATATCCAAATTGAACAACATCCAAAAATAAGTAACACAGGTAATAAGTGAATAACTACATATATTCCGTTCTATAGTCAGGCAAATTATGTCTGCTGAACTATGCCTCCATGCTTAAACTAGTACATGTGTTAACAAGCACTGTGCTTTTATAGTTCCTGCCATCAAAAATGAATGTATCATTTACTAACACAGCTAAAAATATAAACTACCTAAAAAGTGTGGTTCAGTAAACTAAACCATCCCACCAGCAACAAGTAATGTACATTTCTGAAGCTGTTACCTAAACTAGGCATTTGATGTAGATTTCTATATATTTTTATTAAATACAAGAAAGCATTAAGTGGAAGGTGACAAGAAGTCTGTGTAATAGTTTTCCTGGAGCCTGTTTACATCATGCCGTAAGACAACATAATTTCTCAACACAAATGCAGTTAGCATCATACAACTCTGCAATCCACAGCTGCCACATCACACGCTTTTTCAGATCAAGACCTTCACTGGCAATTGTGAGTGCTTAGCAGGCTGGATTTTTGTTAGATGTGAAATCACAGCGGATCAAGGAAGCCCACACTTCAGCCAATCCTACAGCCGTGAAGCGTGCACGATTTCCCACACCGTTGGGCTAACCTGCCATAGCGCTGGGCTGCTGACATGACCTTAATACCAGCTTGTTCAAGTCTTCTTAACTTTCTGATCTCTTCCACATCTTTCCCCTTGGGTGCTGATGTTTCTTTTGCACTATATGAAGGAGACTGGTCTGTGGAGTTTTCTTCACTTTGATTCACACCTAATTGACTTTTAAGGGAGCTTGCTTCAGGAGCCATGGAGCCCACTTTCTCCTTTTCACACAGTCCCGGTGTTTCATTCAGTTCTTCTTCTATGGTTTCAGGGTGGGATTTGCTATTGAATTATACAAGGTAGTTTAATGTAGGCTGTGCTTAAAATGTACACACTTATAAGTGTATTTTGCTGAAGTCAAGATTCCAAAGGATGAAATCTGATGAATAATCGGGGAAGATAATTATGCTCTTTAAAGGAGGTTGTTTCTTAGTCCAAATCAAAAGTGAAGTATTAGTTGACAAAACCAACATGCAGAGTCACACATAGAGTCACAGCTATATAAACCATACTGGTGTATTACATACAACATACAAATAAATTTATTTTACAAAAAAGAAAACATGGCAAAAATATTATCTGTTGTGATTAAATATATAAAACATTACTTTTAATTATCATTTGTCAGTAGTTGTCAGTAGAGAACTGAAACAGATTGTCCAGAACAGTTTTTCCAGCCTTGGGTTTGAGTCAAACATCCACGTTACTTACATTAACCAATATCTTCAAACACAAGCTATACATTGCATTGTATGGTAAACATCACAACAATAGTTTTCCACTTGTTGCTCTTCTACTAGCTTCACCAATTGCTAAAAACTACTTATCAGTACCATGCCAGCAAGATTTATTATAGCATCATACACCTTGTGAAAAGAATGAAAACTGGGCGAGTGTTAGAGCATCATCAGTGAGGAAAGGAGGAGGTGGGCAGGCCAGTCTTACCTGAAAGGTCTGTCTCCCAGCGGCGACGTCGCTGTGCTCCAGCTCTTCCGGTACTCCTCTCGCTCAGCCTTCTTCTTCCGAAGAGGAGCAGGTACATAGAAAGTCTGATTGCTCTTGTTTGGGAGGTACTGGTTAAAAGGCACAGCTGATTTAGGTTCACCATGTGAGGTCCGCCTTGCCAACATATCATCTTTTTTCACATCTGGCATCTTTCTGTGTGGCAGGTCAGTTTCCGAGTCACTTCCTCTCCCTAGTGAGGAAGGAAAAAAAAGCTCCTTTTTATTTTCACTTACATCCAGTTGTTCGGGTTATTTTTAAACTATAAATCAGAGAAGATACCACCAAAAAATTACATTTAGCCACTCTTACCTGCATTTGTATTTTAAAATCAGTTACTGAAAGTAACAGCTACAACATCTATACAGACAGTAATTTTTTTCCATCATTCCCTGAAAAATTCTTTTTCAGACAGAGGGCTACATCAAAAAACCATAGGTTAAAACTCAGTCAGACTTGTCAGTCACATAGGACAGTAGTTTACCTAAAGCCCAGATGACTCCTAGTTGTACATAAGGGCATGTCTGGTCTGATTCACAGTCTTGAACCTAGACTAATAGGTGCCTAACTCAAGCACGAGCAAAACAAGGTTCCATGCTGTATAGCTACAGAATGGCAGGAATATGTGAATGGTCCTACACACACATGAACACAGCAATTTGAACACAGACAGCATCAGTTTTGGTCAAGATCTGAGAACAGCAGCTGCTGCTGTGAACCAGAAGGCTCGATGGTCTCTCTCCAGTCTCACTGGTTGCCAGTCAATCAGTCTACACACTGCAGATAGACAGAGACTCAATCCCAAGATGGAAAGGTGCAAGGACAGAGGGAAGTGACCTCAGGATTTAGATGTTACATCAGTACAGTGAAGAAATAAAGTGGCAGAGAAAAATCGAGAGTTTGAGAGAATAAGACATGAGGTTAGCAGAGCTGGGCAATCATTTGATTTTGTTCAAATGAACTAAACTTCCTGATATGTACAATGCATTTAAAACACTGAAACTTAGGCAAGTTTCTGACTTGAAACTCCCAAATTGTAGGAGAAACACCCTAAAGAGCATTTGCAGTGTGGAACTTCCCATTTTGGAAACCTAAATTCCCTGAACTATCATGAGCCTTTTAAAATAATTCATTAAGAAGTTATGCAAGTAGTTTTCTCCCAGCAGTGTAACATTACCAGGGGCCCTGGTATGAAGAGTGAAATGGAGTGTGTTCAGCCATTTGTCCCATCAGCATTTGCATATTCTCCAAGCTGTGGAGAGTTGGATGTCTCTGGTCCTTGGCCCCTTTGCAGTACTTGCATCTGCAATTAGCTGTTCCCCTTTTTAGGGTGAAGGGAAGCCACTCAGGTTGTGTCCTCTTGTTAATTCAAAACACTAGTGAATTAATAGCTAATTCGCTGTGCTACATTCTGAACAACTGAAAACAATGAAGTAATAAAAATCACAAGTAGTTTGTGTATAATTCAAAGTGGGGGAAGAAAAAAAGAGGTCTAAATATGCTAGGAATGTTATTTGCAAAGAGCTTTTGCAGTAGATTGAGTTTTTCGTGATTTTCTTGGAGACAGACGAAGAAGAATGAAAAGGGACAGTAGAAAAAGACATGACACAAAGGAAATGAATGTTATACAGAAATCACAATGCATTTTTTTGTCAACAATCTTTTGCTTGAACAATTTTTGTTAAGAACTTTGACAACTAGCACCACAATTGATACCCTGAATCTATGTCTGAACAAAAAGTGGAGATACCATCACAGAATCATGGATATCTGAGGACAGCTGAGGCTTGAAGGGCTGTAGTGTCATTACAGAAAGCAGGGCACAGAGTAAGTAAAATATAAGAAAAAGATCCCTTACTTTTATTTGCTATTCTGATTGCTTTTGACTTTGCTCTGGTGTCTATTCTTGTAACACATCAAAACCAGTCTTGAACTGGCAGACAGAAAGGCTGAAATAGATAACCACAGTAGCAGAGGAATTAGAACACACTCCTCTTGTTACTGATGTGCCTACCAGCATCCCCAAGCTGAGTACTTCAAAGAAAAGCAGCTTCTTTAATTATTCATGTCTTACTCATGAAATTATTTCCAGCTCAAATTTGCAAAAGAAGTACTTGAAGCCAAAGTACCGAATGGAAGATGCAGCTGTGCTCTACATTTATAACCTAAAGTTTGTCATTCTGCATTTTCAAGTAGAAGCAGCAGCAGTTTCCACAACTAGTAACAAGCAATTATACACTACAGACATATCCTTCTTAAAAGGATCCATGCACAACTGCTGGCCAAGCAGAGCATTTTATTAATTAGCAACTCTAAATGCAGTTCAGCCTGCAATTCTACTGTGTTTTAAATAACTGTTTTACTCTACCACTGGTTTTGTTTGTTTTTTGCTAAGGGACAGGCTCTCCATGGGACACCAGAGCAGTTCCTCAATAGTGAAACTAATCACAGATGGCATTTCTGAAGGTAGTATTATGTACTGCTTCCACATAAACTAATCACCTTAGCATCATTTAAATAATGTCCATTCAGGCTTTTATTTCTTCTAGGAGTGGAAAGAATCATAGTTTTACTTCACAATAATATGATGTGCTTTATAAAGGTCCCATTTGAATGGAGAAAGAAGTAATGAAAGCAAAATGTTTTCCTCCATCCAACTTTGCATATGGAATCACAGAATTGTTTAGGTTGGAAAAGACCTCTAAGATCATTGTGTCCAATATACTGTTTCTATCAAAAACTACTAACAGCTGAGTAAAACTGGCCTGCTGGGACCACAGGAAGAGGTTCAACATGAAAGAGGTCAGCCAAGTTACACCTCACCTGCAACTGCTGGAGGAGACAGCTGTGAAATTATGGCAGTAGTAAGCAGGGAAAATAGGACAAATTAGAAAGTGTTGGCTGGACAAGTCGTACATGTGCGCACAGCATCTGCACGAACCCTGGTTAAAGACTAATTTTTCAGAACAAGCTTTGTGTGCTTTCATCTTATTTTGTGTTTGTTACGCACTCAGGAACGTGACAAGATAGTATGTCTTAGTAAACAATCTGCGGCAAACAATCACGAAACCTTTCTAACATCTGATAATATGGCAGAAGTTGACAGGAAGCATCTACAGGACACATGTAACTGGCTGTCTAGCAGCTCCAAGTAAGCAGGGACACTGGACATCCCTTGAGCACCCAGGGTCTAAATTTTGATTAGGACGTGTGAGGTGTTCCTATTTGTCAACTCCATGCTTGTCTCATTTGAGAAAGCAGAAGAGCATTTTATAATGTGGAGCCTATGCCCTGCTCAGTGTCTGAGAGGTCGTGAGGCTGTTTCAGGGAATCAGCCCCAGTAGCTAGTTCTGGATGGTCAACCAGTAACAACCTAAACACCACAGACTACTCAGAGCAGCAGAGCTGATCTTAGCTCTGATTTTCCCAGGGCTCTTTCATAATTCTACTGTGATACCAGCTCTCTCTGCCAGCTTTCCAGTTCTAAGGAGTTCCCCATCACCTCAGGAAATCTTTCATGTGTCCGGTTACAATTAGCACCAGTTTCTTTCAAACTGCCAAAAGCAGTATGAACATCTGGTTCCTACCAAAAAAAAATCTTCCTGCCTTTCCTTTTAAAATTAAATAAACAACATTACTATAGAAAAGTGATTCATGTGTGCAACATAACTTCATCTAATGAAGTTGGACTTATTCATCTGTATATCAGGAATGTAACCGCACAGAAAGAGCCTCAATCATGCATCCTTTTGTCCTAAACCAGAATCCTACTCATGACAGGTAACCTAAGAGCATGCTCCACACCTATTCCTAGCAAATCCTTCTTCATCCAGCATGCTGTTTACAAGCCTCTGAAAACCTGCTGGAATCAGAAATAAAAGGCAGAGAAGCAGCAGCCCTTCTGTATGCCTAGAGCTCCCTGTCCTCTCACAAATGTGTACAAAGCTCTGATGCTGGGACGTATTAATTTACCCAGTGTTCTAAATGCGATAAAAAGATATATGACATTTGATAATGTGCTGTACATCAGCGTTCAAAACTCTGCCAAGTATCAGACATTCTCAAGATATTTCTATGTCATTTATCTACCCTGCATTTACTTAAGCAAATATTTTATTCACTACAATTCACTATACTCTGTTCCTGTAATTTTATGTCTTGCTTCAGCCTAGTTTGTAAGTTAAAATGAGTCTGCATAACATCCTCTTACACCAAAACCCAGAAAAACACTCTTCCCATCATAAAATTACACTTCAATGATGTAATTTGTTTCCCAATGCTACACTATCTTGAGAGAAACTTCAGGTAAGCTGTTAGCAAAGTCATCTACACCTCAGGAAGCACAGATCAGCATTCACAGAGAAGTTCTCCCAGCGGATTTGCCTGATTCAGAGGCTGTGTGCAGCTTCTGAATGGCACATTTATTCCAGAAACGCTACTTCTATGTCAAAATGTTCTGCATGTGCCGCACTGCGAGTGGTACTTACCATCACTACTCCCTCTGAGCACTACATCTGGAGACGGTGTCTGCTGCGAGCGGGAGCCAAAGGAGTCCAGACTGTCAAAGGAATCATCTCTGCCGTGGCGAGGCGGGGAGAGGGAGTCACTGCGTTCAGAGTCCCAGCAGTCTATATAGCCGCTGTCACGAATGCTGCGCTTGGGGCTCTCAATATCCTCCGTTTCCTACATGGAAATACAGCAGGAATCTCTCCATAAAGAAGGCACTGACATACTCATGAGATGCATTACACACTAAAAACAAAGCATCTTCCCAAATACTAAAAATCTCCTCCCCAAAAGAGGGTTTCCTTGGTTCTTGCCCCTTCTTCCCTTCAAAACATAGTGCAAGCTTGCAATAAACCAGTTTTATGCTGTTTAAGAAGAAACTACTCTCATTAGATTAGTACAATGAACTGAGAAAAAGTTCCAATAGACCAGTTAATAAACTGATCAAAAGTGAAAGTAACCTGAAACTTGACTTGTCGTCCACAGTCCATAGCACAGCCAAAGGCACTACAATTTTAACATCGTGCCTGCATCAGGTTTAAGTTTGCTGCTTTCCAAAAGATCCCCCCGCCTCTCCTTGCCCATCAATTGTATCTGGCCAGGACCCCAGCAGACAGCATTTGTTGTTGCTGCTTCAGCTCGGCAAAATAATAAAGCAGTGTGCCCCAGCCTCCGTCTACCTTGAAGAGAAATTCCTGTTATGAAAGAGGGATGTCTTTCTCAAGCAATCAGCAATGAAAAATATGCAAAATGCTTTTCCCGATGCCTCAGAAGAATTCAGTTGTGCTCTTTACTCTTTGCCAGCTCCTGGCTCTGGGGGATATGAAAGCACTTGTAGCTGACCCACATGTTCAGAGCAGGGAGAACAATGGTTGTCTTTGACAGCCCTGTGATTATAAATTCTTTCCAGTGCAAGCAGCACATACTAAAACACTGAAACTCCAGCAGAGGGAAAGGTCAATAGAAGCCATCCTCACCCTTGCATTATAATAAATTCCTTGTTTTAGAGAGTGTCTTAATATTAATTACAATCACACAGACTGAGAGAAAACAAAAATAACTAAGTTTGTTCAGAGATAAATGTTTTTTTCTCCCCCGACAGTAAGTAAAGCCAGAGATGTGGGTGCCATTATCAGACTGACATTTTGTGACCCAAAGAGGCTGGAATGTGATTTTTTTTTTCCCCAGAAGCATTTGAATATTAATTCCTAATTAAGAAGCACCCCCTGCTTACCACTAGCTGAAGCACAATGGCAATATTGAGCAGAGCTGCCACTGTCCCTGACTGCTAAGGTTTTACCCGTCACTAGTATTGCCAATGAGAAGATCAATCAGGAATATCACAGTATGCTATGGTGGGCCACCTCCACAAAAAAAGCAGCTTTGCCAGACAAGTGATGGAGAGTGGAGAGCCCTGCAGTAATTCACCAACACTCCCCTGCCGAACAAGAGGGAGGCTTGAAGCGGGACTGAGACATCAGACCAAACGCCCTGCAAACTTTTCAGGAAGAAGGCCTAATTAGTGCTACTCACTACTAATCTGCCAAAATACCACATTAAGGCCAGCGGCAAAGGTCACCCAAGGCCAAGCTAAACTGTAGTAATGCCATTAAGTAACCTCACAGTAAATAGAAGTGAAAATATATTCTAAAACCAGATAAAATGCATCTAAAAAAGTTGTAAGGAATCCTATGTATTTTCCTTTCCCAATTCTGCTTAGTGAACTAAAATGCTGGTAGAAACAATAGACAACAAAAATCTGTCTCCTTGAAATCTGCATGAATTACACACAGCCAAGAACAAATCTACAAATCCTATCAAAATCCTGTTTGTGACACGATCCAAAAATCTTTTAAAAAATCCAAATTCCTTAAATCCGCTCATCCCTTCATACCAATCAACTATTCTAATCTTTAGGCACACTTCCATTTTCCTAAATTACTGTATTTGAATGACACAGAAATGCTCAGCAGCTACAGGGACTTCAACTGGGCAAAAAGCCCCATCCCGCATTCACTATCTCCCACAGTTTGAAAACAGTCCAATTGTGAACTAATGAGTTCTGCAGAACCTACTTTCAATGGCCTGTTTATGTTAATTTTGCATGCTGCTCACTAGGAATTAGGAGGCAGGCACCAGGACAGGATCCTAGACTTCTGTAAACATGTTCTTTACAGCTTTCCCCTTGGCAAAGACGCTCTGGCAACACAATGCCGTCACACAGACGGGTACTTGTCCTGCCTTGAGCAAATGTCATCTCCCAAATGCTATCAGTGGGAACGCGTTTATCTGTGGGACTGATAACACCACGGCATGACACACAACAGTGCATTAGTCTTTCATATAATCTAATTAAAAACACAGTATGTCACAAAGCAGCAGTTAAAGTATGATTGCCAAATACAATATGCATTTGGTCCAGGAAGTTACACCCACTGAATATAATCAAAAAGCCATTGACATTTTGTCATTGGGAATTTCTAGTTTTAAAGTAAAGAAGAATGAGTACTCAAAGAGTTAATGAAATTAAAAACAGAGTAGCATGAATAAAATTAGAAATTAATATCCCCTTCAGCATGAGAAGTAGAAAAAGATGAGTCCAAGACAACTTACATCAGAGCTGTCTTTTGATTTGCTTATTAAAAAAGGAGGGCAGAGAGGATTTACAACAGAAAAACTAAACCGCACTGAATTTATGGTCGATTTAGTTATTAAATTCTGTGGAAAAAACGCCAGTAGAGAATGTGATAAAGTGTCTTTTCGTCACTTGAACTCAGCTATAAAGAACATCAGAGTGTTGCACAGCATGATCAACATGTTATATTTTACAACCAAATCCTCTTCAAATGCAGTAACATACAAACCCACAATTGCTGGTGGGAAGTACTACAGGGATACAAGAGTAGGGACATGATAGATCAAGTCACCAGCAGCCGTCACAGCAGCATCACCATAAATAAGACTTTTCAGGACTGCAAAATGCTCTGTTTATGCATTAAAGGCATATATAGCTTTCAGCTCTTATGAGACCTCTACTCTGCTCCCAGCTCCAACATTTGCAACAAATCAAGTACCAGCCTCTTGCTTAATTTGCAGCACTCTGCAATGCCCAGCCACCAGCTCTTTGGAGAACACTTCATTTTGGCCCTAGCTTATTTCATCCCACAAAAGGGTTCAAGATAGGACCTCCAAAATGCTCTGGTGATTAGTTTCATGGGTAAATATCACCTGGAAAAAGCGGAGCCTTGTCGTGTGAGACTAAACATTAAAAAAGAAATCATGATACCATGCAGCACTAACATTGTGGCTACCTGCACTTTGGCAATTTTTCTGTGCTAGCTCCCTTTTCTGGGTTTGTTTCACCTTTCAGACCCTTTGGAGTGTGAACTGCTCTTTCCCCACATCTTCTACTTGTAAACAGCTCAACTACTAATTTCATCTTTTTATTGCTCAGGCTCAGTCACATCACTCATGAGTCCCAAAGTCCCAAGTGATAAGCACAGGTCATTAAAATGAAGACTAAAATAAACTTCTCCAGAGAAGCAGGATGTTCTCTTTTCCTCTCCATTTTCACCTGCTTGTTCAGAAGAAGTGGGCTCACAAACAGGAATTTTACCCATCTAGTTAAGGTTCTCTGGTCACACCAGGGTGTATGAGCTGCTATCAGTCAGACAAGCATTTCTTCCTCTCCAGGGGTGCTGGCCCTGTGAGATCCCAGAATGAAGACCTGCAGCCAGCACAGTTGCAGCAGCACAGAGCTGAAGGACAATTCAAGTCCAGAGACTGTCCCACGGTCCCCAAACCCTACTGCCTGTGATGACATGGCTCTTAGATGAGGTGGGGAGGGAATAGCAGGCACAAGGCTTTTTGTGGACTGCAGAATGTGTCTGCACAGCCTTTCTTGAGCAGTATGTCCTACACACATGGTGCTGGCAATCTTCTTCCACACCCGCTTCTTGCCCCTTCCATCCCAGAGAAAGGCAGGTCGGGTTATCAATACTAACCATTAGCATTAACCATGGGGTTAAGTGTCTGATGTCAAGGTTCAGGGCATGCTAGAATGCTCAACCAAAAAATCCTCAAACCGTCCTACAGCAATCACAACTTTTCTCTTCCAACAGAGAACAGCTCATCATAAACCACCAAATATTATTTCAACCAGAATTTAGAGCTTGGCAAAAACAGATTTATCCTAACTATGCCTTTGGTGAAACATAATCTCCTTCTCCTCCACTTCAGCTTTATTTAGATCCTTTGGTTTGATGTTTTATGTTGCAACACAAAACCAAAAAAGCTGCCCATGAGACTGAATGTTTTAAAGAAGAAAAAAACTATGCTCTTGTGAGTCCTACCACGTTACTTTTGAATCTCAGCATTTCTAGCTGAAACTTGGTGTCATAAATGAAAATAATTCAAACCAAAACACATGGAAATTAAGATGAAAGAGCCACATGACAATTCTAAAGCCCCATTTGACATCACTTGCTGCATCACTGATGCCACCACAAAGCTGGCTGCCAAAGTGGTTTTCAGTTTGGTAGAGGCTTACTAAGGAATTTGCACTCCAGCCCCCGCCTTCTCTCATATTTAGAAAGAAACAGTTTATTTATCAGAGTAATAATTTTAAGTAAATTTCCATTCCCAAAATATAATGAAAAGATACCTTTCTCATTTGTGCCAGGAAGCCTTCAAACTCCTTCAGGTTCAGGGTTGATCCACTATATGATGTGCAGCTGTTTGCTGCTTTCCCTAGCCAATAAATGGTGACTAATACCTGCAGAAGTTAATAAGAATTAATTTCAGCCATCTACACAGTCCTGTAGCTAAATTTACTTCCCTGCAACATCCCTCATTTATTCTAAACTGCACAGCAGCACAAGTTTTTTTATAAATCAGAACTGAAAGGGAAGTGTCTGTTAATGGTTAAACATAAATATATCAGGCAACTATGAAAGTTTAAACAGTCCTAAAAATATGTAACAACATATTATCTCTCTGGTATTATAAAAAAAAATAATAAAAGTGTTATGACTGCCTGGAAAAATAAACAGAAAATATGGATCTGAGTAGAAAAACTGGACAAGGAGATTTGAAACTTCTAGAAGGCACATATAAATATATTTGTTTGTAAATTCAATACAAAAAACTCCCTAAAGACTACTAATATTAGTAGTCATTAATGAAAACCAAGGTAATACACAAAGTACCTAGAATGTCTGCCTGCCTAAAAGCATCTCAAATATGTGTCTGTTTCAAGGACAGAAAAGGGAGTCCCATTTGTAATCATCTTAATGTAAGTAACCAAATGACACAGGAACATTTCTTTCCAGGTTTCTGCTAGTTTAAGGATGTCTTAGCCCAAGATTAATCAAAAGCCATAAGCATCTTGTTGTTTCTATCAGACTACAGCATAAAAGTTAGTGATTTATTTCAAGTTCTGACTTGACACCTCTCTATGACTCAAAAATCCCTTCAAAACTGGTGAGGGAAAAAGACCAAGAATTGCTCTTGCAAGTAGTAAAGATACCTGACCTGACACTGCTGGTGTTGCACTTGTTTTAGAAAATGAGAAATTAAGATGCTTAGGATGGTCAAATCCAATACATTCAAAAATGCTGACATTTGTACCATGCAAGGAAAGGCCTTTTCTGCACCCACATATGTCTCCACTTAGAGCAATGTCTTTAATAATACCTGTGCAGATGCTATTTGGACTGGAAACTGCCCATCAAAGGAAATTCAATTCAGTGTTTTGCACTGGTTAAAAATGACAAATTATCACCCTAGAACTGAGGGCTTTTTCTCATTTAATGCTCATTATTTTGGTATATTCCATGACATTGCAAAGTATTTGACTGCAGAATGAACAGGAAATATTTTGATGAGGAAAAGAGACGCAACCAATAATAAATAATAGTTGCCATTAACTGTTTCAAAAAAAGATTCATAAACTGAAATATAGTATTTTATGTTTTGATGGGACAGGGCCATATACTTCATGCTATATAGCGAACTAAAGGAAACAAGACTAACAGAAACCCAAAAGGGGGACTTCACTGGGAACAGACATCTCTTAGACTCTTCTTCCCTAAAACATGCTTCCACATTCCTCCTCAGCAACATGCTAGAGTTTTCTTATCAACTTGCACTAGCATCCCCAAGTGAAATGTCCAAAATTATGCAGCACTGCAGCTGAGGCCCTGTCAGAAATGGATACAGCATCATACAAACCTTCTGTTTAAAAGCAACTGTGATACATAATGTAAAATAAGTATCTGATATAGAAATATAGTTTATATTATTCTTTAGTTTACAAGTAGTATATATGCTGTGAAATAATTGAGTCACATTTTTAATAAAGTTCAAAAATGTTTCCCTTTAAAAAAAAATTTCATCTAAATCAACACTACTGTGCTGAATGAAAGGAGGTGGTGTTGCTAGTCCTGATTTTTTGTCTTGAAACAACCTTTATCTGAACTGTTTTCCTTCAACCAACACTACTTGACAAATTTTATGAAAAAAAGTCTTGCAGTATATGTTCAAGTTAAATGAAAATATTTGCAAATAACACTATTTCTAGTAACCAGGAAATACTGTCATCAAGTCCATTGATTAAGGTTATGGTATTTTTTGTATGTTTCTTTATTTCTGCTAGCATTTGATAGTCTTCCTTTCTTTATTTGGAAAAAAAAAAGGCAGAAAATTTCACATTTGCAAGCAATTCTGGCTGGCTGCCAGCTGAAGCTGCAGGATCATGCACCTGGAAAGCATATACTGCCCACAAGCACATTCTGGAGAATACTTTTGAAACTTCACCTTTAAAGCAACACATCTGTACAAAGATCTTTAGCCGGTGCCCACAAAGAGTTTTAAAATACCAAAGTTGAATTCTTCCCCTAAAAATCTGTATGCTGGGTGCAGAAATACTACTCTACTGATGATGGGAAAGACAGGATGAAACAATTTGGGGGAGGGGTGGTTTTGGTGTTGTTTGGGCTTTTTTTTTTTACCTCCAGTCATGGAAGTTATGATTACCGGTTTTCAAAGTTATTAAAAAAGCTCTTGGTATTTCCTATCAGGATATAGGGATGTGGGCCAAACAAAAATTATACCAGTTTACAGCTAACTAAGGACAGACAGCTTGCTAGGCTTTAAATTGAGACCAGCAAAGGTTAGACATTTTCTTTTCTAGTTAACAAGCACAGGATGCCCTTAGTTTACATTAAGAGGAAATTGAAGTTAAATGGAAATAGTCTTTCTTTCTGGGGAAACACTAATTTATTTGGAAGAACAATGAGAAAGCTAGCTAACCTCATGGTAATGTCTTGCATCCCAATTTAATGGCCATTTTGCTTCATTTTAAATTGTTTGTGCAACTGTACTCTATGCCTGTGTATTTGGGAAGGGCTACAAAAGTGTGGCTTCATGGTTGAATACGACCGTTCCCACCAAACACCACACTGGACAGCACTCATCTAAGAGGATCTAAAATGAGACAAATTTTCTCCATTTTATTTCTTTTGTAAGGCTGCTTTGCCATAGCAGCTCTACCTGAATTTCCAATACAACCCAGTTATGTTTGTATTAAGAAGGACTTTTCAGCAATACTCACGTACTCAGTTTTTACTGACATAATTCTTGATCAGGCCAATAACAGAATTAACCAGAAAAAAAAAAATCCAAATGATGTACTTACATTTTTCAGCTTCCTACTATAGTCAATGTTCCTGGTTGCACACACAAGCACATACAAAGATAAGAAAAAAAAAAAAAGGAAAAAAAAAAAAGGAAAAAAAAAAAAAAAAAAACAAAAAGCAGCCATACTTTCCAAGAGGCTGTATGCAGCAGATCACATTTTCCCTAACAAAAGCCTGCCGAATGCTTCTGCTGTCTGGAAATACATGAAAGCTAAGAAGATGTAGTTCACACATTCATTTATTCATAACAGGGGAGTATTTTGTCACCATTATTTCAATCATTAAATTAGAATTCTGGAAGTACAAGAAGAAAATGTGTTTATAATGCTCCCACAGTAAAGTAGGACAATGCCAAAATATTTCCTTTAAACAGAGTTACTGATTTCTTAAAAAGGGAAGACAAAAGTCCTCACAGCTAAAATACATTCTGCAGTTACCCAACAGTCAGATTCTGCTCTGCAACACATACAGATTCTGGAAGCAACTGAACTTGCATAAGAGGCATCAGCAAACATTAAGGAATTATTGCAGGTGCTTCTGTGGAAATGAACATTACAAAGAACAAAGTGAATGGACGAAGCAACAAAGACCCTGCCATTTAAAATAGAATGTGCCATGGAAAACATTTATTTTTTAGACATATACTTGAGCATTCAGACTGAACATTGGCATCATCCTTCTCAATTTATTTTTTTCTCTTATGTTCATGGAAGAGTGGCAGTTTTATGTTAAAAAAACAAGGTACAAAGTTTGTACAAATATAAACAACATTTCAAAATTCAGCAACGAAAGCATTAAAAAAGAAGGAAATACGTATCACATTTAGGTGCTAAAAACTACATAAGACTATTTGAGATTTAGCAAAGGTTGTGTCCTGATTATTTACAGTGGAATTGTCTTCTACTCTAATAGTAAGACCACTCCATCATTAAAATTTATCTGGCAAAACCAAAAATATATATACTCAAATCTGCTAGAACACCAAAAGCCTAAATAGAGGCAATGGTAAACGAAGTATTTTTGATAACATCTTTTGAAGCCAAAATTTTGTCCACTAATACCCACACAATAAGAAAAATAGAACAGTCCTGGTTTTTTTCTTAGTAAAATAACAGTGGAAAAGAGACTTGCTTAACTAGTCACAAAAAATTCCTTACAGCATTAGCTCATAACTTTTATAAGCAGAGTGATCCAAAAAATAGATGTAATACATGCCTCAATTAACATCTGTATGGAAAAAAAGAAGGGTAAATGTCATTATCTTAAGCATGTGCAATAATGTCATACTCATCCTTTACCACAAATAATATTTTCACCATGTTTAAAAAAAATCATGCAGAAGTCTTCAAAGAGGGAAAAAATCACCTTCACGCTTTGGGAACTAGCTAGCAGAATACAGCCTTCAACATATTTCTCTAGAACAGTCATGGATTTGGCTTGTACACCTCAACTCAGTTACTCAGTGTGAACTTGGACAGTGCTAGGAAAACATTTGGCTCATTTCCACAGCTTTCTCTGGAGCCCTCATATAGAGTGGAGGCCCAGGCCAGATCTGCAGGGTTTATGGTGCCAGGTTTAACTTGGTGACAGCTTACTTTGAGCTCCACCCTAGTCAAAGCCTCTCAACCTGCCTCCACCAAGGTACTCCATCCATCCTCAACCCCAAAAGATAGAGGGTTTTATCAGAAAGACTCTTCCTCTCTGGTTTCATATGGAGATTAGGGTTTTGTATGAAGATTGACTCTCACCAGTCAATCATCATAATGATTTTACAGGACATCATGAAGAACCCATTTTATCAAATGTATTATCAGATTTAGAAGAAATTAATGATATAGCCTCCACTCCACTGCCATGTAAAGGGCAAGAAGAACCTCATGTTAGAGTCAGAAACTTGGGAAGGATCAAAAAATGGTATACCTTAAAACAAGGACACTGGCCAAGTCAATTTTCAGAGCCTTTGAATTTTCCCAGACAGTGCCTGAATACCATGAAAACATGCCCAGCTTCCATTGCCAGAAAGGAATAAAAAAAAAAAAGCTACCGAAATTTAGTAAATTGTTTCCATATACTTCTCTGAAATAGATATGTCTGATCAGGATTTCATTAGTGATCTTTTTGCCCAAATGAAATTAGGCCACTCAATCAACTCGGCAGCATTTGCTTGTCTGTAGAGCAATAACTTCTGTTATAACTGTAACATGACATGATAGACCCAAAACTTTCAGGAAAACTAAATACTAATTTAGAAGTTAAGAAACACCAATTATAAATTTTGTTAATTTTATGAAAGCGTTGGGTGGTTTTGCTTTTAAAAGGTGGGGGGCCTGTACAATTTGTGTGGTAGTGGGTGTGTAGTTTTGGTGAAAAACTATCTAAATTGTGGCGTTTCCAGCTCACAAAGACTTCCTCAGTCCAATTACTGTGTGTCTCAAGCCATAACTCTTGCAGGGAACTGAAGAGACCATGCTTATCCCTGCATCTCATAGAATCTGAGGGGCCTCTAACTCATGTTCACCATCAGAACAATTTAATCTGACATAACAGAACTGTGCCTTTTCTCCCAGACTACAATATTTTATTAGTTGGAGAGACAAAAAAACAATGTCATCAATTTAGATTAGGAAAACCCCTAAGTCCCTCAGAATCTCATTGCCTAAGACAGTATTTTCACAAAATCACAGAATAAACTGAGTTGGAATCCACAAGGATCATCAAGTCCAACTCCTAGCCCTGCACAGGCCATCCCCAAGAGTCACACCAAAGGCCTGAGAGCATTCTCCAAGTGTTGTCCTATTTTGCAGAGCTGTGGTTGATGTCTCTGGGACAAAACCTGTTGAATAGAACAATCTATTCATCCCAACACTGAAAGTTTCCCAAACTTCTGCTTCCTATTTGCCATACACTAATTACAGTTCTACAGCCTTTTTGCTTATTTGCTATTGCATCACATGCACCTGAGTCTGTAACATGCTAGTCACAAACTGCTGTTGTACTTACTTGATGGTTGCTCTGTTTGATGTGTCCTGCAGATCACCAGGATCAAAAAGCTGAGATTCTTTAAGTCCCAGTTCTTTGCAGCCTCTTAAGAATAATATGATATTATCCTGAAAAGAGACAAAAAGCATAAAATCTCAACACTTTAAGCTCTCCTTAATTGAAACAAAAAAAATTTACCAAACCAACTTCTCGCTAATTCACTAAGTGCTCACGAACAGTCATACCATTAACTAAATGAAGAACCAAAGACATTTCCAGTCACATAATTTAAGAAGTCAGTGTAGATTTTGTTTGAAAACCAGATACGTACAAATGTTGGCAACTTTTTTAACTGAAAAAAGCCCACTAATTTCTCCACCTGGAGGCTGCCACACAACCTCAGCATGTTACAGAGTAGAAAAGGCAGGATTTTTGAAGGGAGCAGGAAGAGTAGATATGAAACAGCCTGCCACCATTTCAACAAGCAATTTGTTCAGAAAACACTTTGCATGTCAGATACAAGCAAGCCAGTTAACACAACTGTTCTCTTGCCTCTCTAAATGTAACCAGTCATAAGCCACTGAGAAAAGAGATAGGTGCTTTCTCCTGAAATAAAAACCTGAAATAAGTGTAGTGTAAGCTACACTTAATACGGCCACTGTCTCTAAGAAGAAACAACACCAATTTTGTAACACTTCTTATGGAGGATTTACTCCTTGCAAAGTATAAAAATTAAAAGTCAGTAGTTAAGAAAAGCTAAGTAAAAACTGATATAAATCTCTTTCAATCCAAGTCCAAGCTATGACACTTTGGTGTCATCCTTTGCATCAAGAAGACTGAATCTGCATGTGTGGATATACAGTTAATACAGATTTTATACATATGCACGTACACCACTCCCCTGTTACAGAACCAGTGAATATGTTCTACGTGGATAAATCTTGCAGCTAGTAGAAATAAGTTTTTAGATATATATGGTTCTAGACCAGCAACTGCAGTGGTAGATGTGTGGACAAGTAGATACAATGTACAGCTTGGTATTCTTCCAAGGAGACTGAATCTGCATGTGTGCATATAATACAGTTAATACAGATTTTATACATATGCATGTACACCACTCCCCTGTTACAGAACTGGTGAATATGTTCTACGTGGATAAATCTTGCAGCTAGTAGAAATAAGTTTTTAGATATATATGGTTCTAGACCAGCAACTGCAGTGGTAGATGTGTGGACAAGTAGATACAATGTACAGCTTGGTATTCTTTAAGGAGTCTCATCTCAAACCTGAAGCTAAGCTGCCACATGAAGAGTTACAGGGCAGCACAACCACAGCATGTGGTGGAGACCTGTTTTCATAAAAACTGGGAAGCAGAGCAGCCTGGCAGTGTTCAGCTCTTACCCACTGCATGACAGGGCAGGATTGGTGAGCAGGGCTCTCCCCACATCTGCTCCCAGCCTTTCCTGGGGCTCAGGGAGAGCAGCCCTGTTTGTTCTGCCAGCAGCATGCAAATCGCCGTGGCTCTCGGCATGCCAACACTCTCGCACACAAAGCTCGCCAGCCACACCACAGAAAACAGAGACTTGGAAATTCAGAGGGTTCAAATCTCCTTTTCTTCCCTGGCTGAAACTTAACAGCTCTGGAGGGGAGCCAGGGGGGGAAGGAACAGCAGTTGAGAGAGCAGAGAGCCCATAACCCAGAGAGACAGCATCATTCATGACACAAAAAGATGCCTGTAAAATTTTCCATCTGGCTTACTGTTTGCATTATAATTTTTCCAACTGCATCATGAATAACTCTTATGTTTAGTCTTTGATGGAGGACAGTCCTGGTCACTCTCAAATGGTTGGTGGAGCAATGCGTAAATCTAATATATCAAATAAAAATGCAAAAGCATCAAAAAAAGTTCCTAACACTATTTCCAAATTTAACAAAAAATATACTGGACATAGAGATCATAGTAACCTAGTAGACTTATAAAACAATCAGAGGAGGAATGCTGAAGATAACTAATTGCACCCATCTTTATGCCAGAAGTTCACATCTGAGTTATGATAAGCAGTAACAAAAATACCAGTTATCTGGCAGCCACACAGTTTGGGAACTCGGTTCTTCTGCTGATGAACAAATGCCTGCTTCTCAAAAAACCAGCACCACCTACTCCTGCTTGGCTTCATGCATTTATTTGAAGGCCATCATGTGAATAATGTTTGCCAAGTCACTGACACTATCACCCAAACAATTCCTCAGAAAGCTGGTGTCTTGTATGGGCACAAATAACCACATGTGCCAACAAGATGCAATCAGTGAGCCCTGAAAGAAGCTTCTGCTTTTGCTAAAAATCTCATAATTTTTATTTCCAAATGGTTCTAAAAATGGCACTTGTTTAAAAGGATTGAAGAAAAATCCAACAAAGGAAATGCTTTCAAGTGATATATTTACTCAAGGACACCTGCCTAGGCTGCCTAACCCCAAGCCAAAAAATGTATCCCATATTACTGCAACACTAAACTTTTCATGGTTTGCTGTAGTACAGATGAAATTCACATTTGTTAGTTCCATTGAGTCACTGCAGAAAAGCACTCCTAAGCCACTAAGGGGAGAAGGGAGTCTTACAGCTAAGATGTAGCTCCCAGCAAAGCTTTCTCCCAGGATTACTACACCTTGCATTGACCAGGTCCTGATTTCTTCAGTTCTCAGAAAATGTTCCTTTTATCTTTCAAGAGGATTTATTGTTCAGTGTCTGTTAGCTGAAATTACGCACTTTTCTAGTAAAAAAAAGCCACTCTTTGTCATTGCTGAAAAAACTGAAGAAAGCAGAAAAAACAAGTAGCAAGATATAAAAACCATATTTACTTTAAATAGGTGACTGGAAAGACACATTTAATGTGCCTGCCCAGCTCCTTACAACTTGGCAGAACTAAATAGGTCATGCAAATGGGTCACACTGCAGTGGCAAGGATCTTGGGGTGGCCAGCTGCTGTGCCTCAGCTAACAGGGTGGTATCTTTTACAGTGGTTTCAGAAGACACACAACCAGAATTTGGCCCCTCTGGCAGTCCATATGAGGAACTATCACACAATTTCCTCAGTATCTTAAATGGAGATGATACTGCTTTTCTCTCAGCCATTATTTTCTGCAGCTGCAGTGTTGGAGTAGACAGAGAATTGGTCACTTGGTCAGCACATCATTTCCTACAGCCCCAGAGGACCTGCAACTGTCTCTTGCTGGCTCCTCTTGGTTTTATCCTACACCACTGTATAATCAAAAATCTTCTTCTGGCTTTTGTCCTTCATACACACAGAGGAAGAAAAAGCTGATAGGTTACAGCCTAAATTTATTTTGCAAATTTTCTCTGTCTCTTTAATATATAAAATTTTATGTCCATAAATATCTATATTTATATAGATCTATAAGTTATAAATCTGCAATCTACAGATATCACAGATAGCTATACTGTTTCATCTATGCTTAATCTATAAAATGACAGAAAGCCTAAATAGGCTGTAGAGAGAAGATAAATGCTTCAGTATGGTGACAGACACAGGGATAGACTGATATGTTAAATCCCAAGCCTTTTCTGCTTGCCTCAGCAGAGTCCTAACAGTTACTGTTACATCAGCACTACAAGCAATGTCATTTACTTGTAAGTACTGAAAACCAAAAATGATTAATGTAAATGTTTCAATATACTGAATTTCAGAAACAAAAAATTAACCAACACAAAACTGCAAACTCCCAGGCAAGCCAGCTGTCAACCAGTAAGAAGGGTCATGGACAGATAAGGGTGCAGAGCACCACCTCCATGAGAACTTAGTCAGAAGGATGCATGGGAAGGAAGGGAGAAATGCTCCTTCTCTCGCAAGTGCATTTCAACACCATCACCTTTTCATCCTCTCTGGTGTGTAATCTGACGGACTCACCACTACAAAATCACCTTGCCAGGACAATCATCTGAAGATAATGCAGAGAGAGTGGGTGGCAGAGGGATTACACCTTTATGAAGGTGGAGGGAGGGAATAAGGGAGGGGGAAAAGACAACAGACTACTCACTTCTAATTTTTTTTTGTTTTGTTTTAACCTGAGTGTTATAAATATGAAACAATGTTCACTGTATAGGATTAAGTAATTCTCCTCATGCTCAAAGTGGAGCACAAAATCCTGAACCCTGTAAAAAAAACCCCAGAAATTGGCAGCTGAATAGGACAGACACCCTGGAAAGCCGCTGCAAATTCACACAGTAGCACTGCCAACACACAAGACAGTTCAAGCTAGCGAGAATCAAATATTCACAGCAGGCAAATTCTCTCCATAGGATCTGCTGATCAGATGCAATGGCAAACAGCTTGAATTTGGCCCACTTCCATTCCTTTCATCCTCCACAATACATACAAAACAGTCTCACTGTATTCGCACTGCAAATCGATTCTACAGCTTAGCACTGTGGAGCCATCGTTTGTCACATGTGCTACTGCATGGCCCGGATGAGATATTCAGATAAACTTGGAGAAAATAAAAGCAAGCCAAGCTGTATATCTGCCCAGAATACTGAATAAAATGCCAAATATATGCCACTTCTGCAAGCTGGAGATATTATTAGCTGCCAGTAGCACTGCTCTGTTTTGCAGGACAGCTGCAGACAAACAGGTGGCCTTTTTCATTTCTGGAATGCTGATATTTTCCCTGCTCCAGAATAAATGAGAAGATCTCTAAAATTAAAAAAAAAAAGAAAAAAAAAAGAAAATTTCCAAACTGCTTTTCTGAGAAATTTCCAATAGACTCTCAAAATCCTTTTGTTTGGTCTCAACATTTCTTCCTAATTCCCTTATTTTTCCATTTTATGTAAGTAGTGGTGATCATTTATCTATATAAAAGCAGTGGATCTTGCCTGATTCACAGGTTCACAGAAATACTGAAATATTCGGTTCAAGTCCACCAGGAAAGAGACTTCTATAAGAAGGGCTGGGAACTTTTTCTCATATATATATGAGAGGAAAAAAAATTCTATATATTTATACATACATATATATATGTGTGTGTATATATATATATAGAGAGAGAGATATATACACACATATACATGTATATATGTGTTATTGTTTCTCCAACATGATTTTCTGTGTATGTT